CTCTCCCCCATGCCTGTGCGCAGGCGGTTGTGCTTTGTGCGGACGCCGACGTTGGTGTTTTGGGCCGTCCAAAGAAGGAAAACGCCCTGTGGCGGGCGAGGCGGGCACAGCCTGGGAGCGCGGGAGCGGGAGGACGGGAGCAGAGAGGCCCAAGTTGAGTTATAGTACTTCATAAGGTACCTACCTTACCTAGCAGTAACCACGGAGCAGGTACCTGGTGCATGCAAGCTGGCCTGGCCTTCCCGGTCACTGATCGTACGGGACTACCGCGGGTGGGCACGTTGGATCGACCGAACTGGAGGCTTTGGTGCCAGTCATTACCAAGCGCCTCACGGCCTTTACCCACCCGGGGCAGGCTGGGCTGCCCGGGCTGCCCGGGCTGCGGCTGCGGCTGCGGCTGCGGTTGTCAGTCTCGCTGTCGCTGTACTCGCAGTCGTCGCTGTCTGGGCAAGGAAGGATGGAAGGAAGGAACGAAGGGGATGAGGATGGGGCGAGAGAAAGGGGACAGACAGAGACCGGGGAGGGGGGGCGTGTCTGCAGCGCAGCCTGACAGGTACCTGACTGGGTCCTGCCTGGCCTCACGCGCAGGGTAACTGAACTGACTTTGCCCACTCTGATGAGGCATGAGCGACCCGCGAGATGGACGTCACGGCATTATCCCTCCCCTCGCCGTTAATTTCTGCTTTTTACTTTTTTTTTCCTTCTCTGAATGTCCTTACCACTGAGTGGCCCGGCCTTGGCCTCGCACCCGCACGCATGACTGCCGGGACCCGTCTTCATCAAAGCCCACGGGGGCCATGGACGCACGCACTCGGGCGTTCATCCGCGGTCCTCGAAGCTCCTGTCGCTCCACGACAACACGAGCACAGCAACGGCCACCCCGTCCAGCAGCAGCGCCAGCCGCTCCAATACACGCCTACTTTGTACAGTACGTCAGGGACTCCACGCATGCACCAGACGCCAGGCACCAAATGGGAGGTGCCAGCGGCCAAGCGGCTGGCAGGCACGCTGCGCGGATGTTGGGTGACGCCCAGGGCGCTCTCAGGGCCAATTCAGGGCCTATGACGAGCCGTGGCCGTCGTCGCCCCGTCCCGACCAAACGGCCGCCAATCCGACGCACACCCCACGCCGCCGCCACGCAACGCACCGCACAGCACAGCACAGCCAGCAGAGCACAGCACAGCACAGCACAGCACAGCGCTGCGCTGCGCTGCACCGCGGCTGTTGCACGGTGGGTGGCCGCCCGTCTGTTGCGCCTCGCAAATGGGCGGTCGCGAGCACCGGTAAAGGGTGTTCGACAGCCGTGGTCCACGGTCCACGATCCACCCGACCCGTGGCTGGGCTCGCTGCTCGCCCTCGGCCCACGCCCCTCCCTCTTGGTGCATGAGGGACCCCAACATGGCTGTTCCCGCACGCCCCTCATGCATGTCTCTCCATGCCCTCTGGCTTGACGTTCATCATGCATAGGCAGCTAAGGTTGTTGAACTTGGATAGCCCTATACAGGCCCACGCGCTCACACACCCGGCCTTGCCAACGCGGCGTTGTATCGACGCACCAAGGCCATATGTTGCTATACTTGGGGCTGCCTGCTCAGTCATGCACCTCCCGGCAGGGCCAGCAGACCCAGCAGACCCAGCAGAGCCAGCAGACCCAGCAGGGCGGGCAGGCGGGCGCGCCAGAGGGCCAACCTTGGCTCTTCTCATCTGCCAGCGAGGCAGTCATTATGCTGCCCCCGACCGCCCTCCTCCCCCCCACGGTTCACCCTCGCCGGCGTCGATGAAGTGCATCGATGCCTGCCAGCCGAGCCGAGCCCCTCCAGACCCAAGGACCCAGCCTGCTGGGGCCCTTTTTGCTTTCTTTTTCGCCTCGACCGGCCGACCCCTGCCCCCGGCCGTCGCTCTGTCGCCGTGCCGCCTCGAGCAAGACGTCGCCCACCTCAGGCAAGCGTCAAGTACCAGCAACCTCTCGGCCGGACGTCCGCCTCGTCCCTGCGCCGTGGCAGGCACCCCTGTCGGCGTTGGTGCCCCATACTCGCGCTCGTAGGCGGCCGTACGGCCCATGCAGTACCCAAGCCCACCTCATCTGTCCATCCATCCATCCATGCCTTGGCTCGTCGGCTCGTATACATACCTATCGTCCCCTCTGACGTTGTCCCTCGTCTGCCGGGGCTGGGGCTCTTGCAAACCCTCGACGCCGTGCCGCCACCTGATGTCTGTGTCTGCTTTGCAGGAACCTGGTCTGGCCTTTTCATGTACTCGTACTGGCCCGTTGCCGCTGCTCACTCTGCTTCATCTCCAGCCCATTGGCCGACAACTGCTCGCACGGCACCAATCACAGCCCGGACTCGCCTCCAAACACGACTCCAGGAGCCGTTGTCTACTTGGGTCATCCCCAGACACCTCCAGGTCTCTTCCGTTTCCTTTTCTCCTCCTCTTGCCCCCCTCTCGTCCCGTCTGTTACCTGCCCCGAGCTGGGCTGTCGATATCAGTGCGCCGGCGCGGACTCTCGACCGGCCATCGCCAACTCGCTCGCAGTCTCCCTCTTCGCCCTCGTCTCGCCAGCTCGAGAGCCCGCCTGGAGCCACCTGCCGGCCCAACGCCAGCCCGGACCTTGACGAGGACCCGACTGCCGTGTGATCCTCCGGAGCTACGTCCATCGCTACACCAAGGCAGCTATTTGCTGGGCCTCGCTACACTGCGTCGCTTGGACAACGCAGTTTGTCCCCAACCAAGTCCGGGAGCAGCCAAGGCCGCGCCTGGCAGCCAGTCGCGGAGCTGGCCCAACTCAAGAGCCAGACGCTGCTCTGCCTCCCGCGGGCGGAGCCCTTGTTCGACGTCATTCCCAACAGCGGCGACGTCGGCCTGCACCGCGGCTCCTGTGCTCCAGCCCCAGCCCCGGTCCCATCACGCCTCGCAGGCAGCAGACGGCAGGGTCACGCCTTCAACGTGGATATCGGCTCCTTGCTCAAACGCTCCGACTCAAATGAGTCTCCCGCGTATACCCAACAGCCTCGACCCGCCCTCGTGCCGCCATCGACGGGTGCCGCCCCAGTTCATGGGCAGCTGCCCGCGCAGATCGCGCCACCTGCTGCGTCCGGCCCGATGCCCAACGCCAGGCGCAACATGCCTCCCCTAGCATCTGATCAGCCCGTGAAAAAGCAGAGCAAATGGTCGCAGGAGGAGGACAGCCTCATCATCGAGCTCAGGGGAAGTGGCATGAAGTGGGAAGACGTCTCCAAGCGACTGCCGGGCCGAAGCGCCATAAGCTGTCGACTCCACTATCAAAACTACCTTGAACGGCGGAGTGAGTGGGACGAAGAGCGCAAGAACAAGCTGGCAAGGCTTTACGAAAGGTAATTTTAACTTGAGCATTTGCCTCATCCACGAAAAGGGGGACGCGCCTCGCTGCGTAGCGTCGCGACACACTTGCTGACACTGTTACAGGTTCAAGGCGGAGATGTGGGCCAAGGTGGCCGAAGAGCTGCAAGTTCCCTGGCGAGCGGCCGAAGCTATGCACTGGCAGCTCGGAGAAGTCGATATGGCCCGTCGAGCCGGCGTTGTTCCGTTCTCGCTGGCGTCAGGCAACGTCGAAAGCACGGCACGAGCAGCGGTACCACGGCCCGCCGCCCACTTCCAGCATCAGGAGAGCCTTGGTCACCATCTGACGCCTCCATCGCCACGGTCTATATACGCCCGAAATCCCGCCCTGTCTGTCATGCCGGTACCCCAACGGGTCGAGGCGCTACCACCAGCACCCCCTCCTCCCCCTCCGCCGGCAGCTGCTGGGCCGGGATTCCCTCCCGGAATGCCGCAGGAGCACGGAGAGCTCTATTACACTTCTGGTCCGGGCCTTGCACCCATCCAGACTCAAGGGCAGCCTCGCAATCCGGGTCCGCTGCCAAGCCTTGCCGAGCTCACGACGGGCGTCAGTCCCTACGGAACTCCAATCGAGCGGCCGCGATCCGGCCCGATGGGGCCGGGCTCGGGGCCAGGCCCGGGGCCAGGCCCGAAACACGGACCGAGCCTGCCGCCTGCGCAGGGTTACCTTCCTCCAGAACCTACAAGGGCCAAACGGCGAGCAAGTCCAGAAATGATGCAACGAGAGAACAGCCACAGGAGGCGGATTGGATGAAGTCCGCCACAACATTCGGCAGCGAAAGAACAAGAGAAAACAAAGCACGGAATAGAATGTTGCCGACTGGGCCACGGTTTAGTCTCCGGAGTTATAGATTTGATGATGGGAAGACGGGCAGAGAGGGCCTGCAGATACACAAGGACTGGATGATCCTTTTCATTGCGAGCGAGCCAACGATTTTCACGTCCGCATTTGTCCACGATGCATCGAGCGAACGGGACCACAAGGCCTCCGAGGAGACGGAACACGGTTGGGGCGAGGCCATGGGTGGGAGCATGTTTTACGAGTCCATCTTGTACTGATAGAAGGCGTCGGTGGCGCACGACAAGGGGTGGTCACGGAATTGGGCATTGATATTTTGCAACTGCGGGCTGTGCAGGAATGGGTCATGGGTCATAGAAACGGTCGCCAGCGGTGGCTAATGGTTGCGGTGCCAGTTACACCGCTTAGATCGATCACGGAGGGCGGGCTACCCCTCCGTGGGCTTGGTCGGACGTTTGGGCTGGAATCAGCTCGTTGGGGGGGTTTGTCTTTGGCTCGCGGCTTTGATCGTCGAAATAGATAATGACAAATACGATCTTGCATGACACGGCCGGGGGCGGCGAGGCATGGAAACTTGGACACCAAACGTGATGCTCTTATGCATGCTGCTTGGGCAAACACCCTGCGTTCGGATGTGACGTGAATGCACGCCTGTAGACGGAGGGACCGAGTCACTGGTGCTACGCCCCCTCCCCAGCATTTTGATATGTACTGACCGCCGCAACCTGCCTGCCGCCTTGGGCCGACCCGTTGGCCGACGTTGACGTGGACCGACGCGACATCATGTCTTTGCTTCTTTATTTTGATCCAAAGGAGACAACGCCTATCTACTACAAATCACCCACCAGTTGTCCTTTTCGTAGCCGCTCTCGCAGCACGTCCCGCCGGCGGCGCGCACGTCCTCATCCAGCTCGCCTTCGCGGTATAGGTGATAGTAGCGCTGGAAGGTGGCGTCGGGCTCGCCCTTCCTGCGCATGACCCAAGGCACCAAGGTGTCCTGCTGTGATGACTCGTCCCAGCCGCGGCGGCTGCTGCTCTGCTCCAGGGCCCAGGCGTAGACGAGCGCGCGGGCGCCGGGCCCGGGGCGGAGGCAGGCGAGCAGCGCGGCGATGGCCTCCTGGCGGCGGCGTCGCGTGGACAGGTGGTGCACGACAGCGATGCTGATGACGAAGTCCACGGCGGCGGGGCGGTAGGGCAGGGCGAGGCCGTCGGCGACGGCCACCTCGCCGGAGCGCTGGGTGGCGGCCAGGCGCACGAGGGAGGCGCTGCGGTCGGAGCCCAGGATGAAGACTGAGGGGTTGACGGGCAGGTACTTGCCGTTGCCGCAGCCGACGTCGAGGCCGACGCTGCCGGGCGGCTGGGAGAGGAGGAAGCGCTCGACGAGGGGCCAGGGCTTGTGGCGCGTGGCCGAGAAGTGCGGCGCGATGGCCTCGTACACGCTGTGCACGTGTGTGTCCTCGTATGCCTCTGCTGCCTCGGGAGGGTGATTCGGCTGTTGCTGCTGCTGCTCCTGATGCTGCTCCTCTTGTGACGTATGCCGGCTTTCAGGGACCTCAGACGGCATCAATACCGGAGGCCGAGGCTGTGTGTCAGGATGTGTCGCCGTCGGCCCGCCCCCGGAGGAGCCCAAGTCTGGCTGGCTCATGTTGCCGCCCGGATGAAGCTCCCTTGCGGAGCAGATGGGCAGGCTCCTCGGACCCAGACCCGACCACAGAAGCTTCGATCGGAACCGTCTCTCCGGCCAATGCTCGTGCTGTCAGATCCAGGCAAGGTGTGTGAGTGGGCAGGTGTCGTCGCCGCGGAGCGCAGATGCTAGACACGTGGACCGCGGCTATCTCTGGCCGGGTATCTCACTGACGTAGAAATGTCTTTGAGCCCCCCTGGAAACGGGCCGAGCTTCCTTCGCCGGGCGCCTGGTAGTTGCTCGGGCTTGGGTGGCCTCTCTGGTGCTGGCTCGAACAGTGGGCGGGCAGGCAGCCTGGTCGTGCGTTTGTGCTCCGGTTGCATGAACGTTCATCAGCCGTGGGTGGGCGCCAGGATGGGTGTCGGGTCAGGCTCTCCCTGACGGATTCTGACGGATGTGGATGGGTGTGGAGCCGGGGGTGGGTGGGCGTTCGAAAAATACCGGCAGTCGCATAAAGTTGGCTCGCAGCACCTGAGATTACACGCGCCGAACCATGCGCGGCAGAGGGGGTCGCGCCGGCCACGGGAATCCTTGCGCGACGCAAAATGTACACCTGTCTGGCTGGTGCTCCGGGTTGAAGGGCGCGCGCTCCCTCTCTCTCTGTCTCTATCTCTTTCAGGGCCCCAGGATTGGCGCAATCTAAATTGGCGGATCGGTGGACGCAAAAGGGCCGTTTGAAACTGCGTCTGAGGCTGCCGGAGAAGAGGTGTGGTTGAAACTGGGCGTCACGTGAAGCAGGCTGGGGGTCGTCCCTGGCAGGTAACCAGCCAGGCTACGTACCTACTTCCGGGTTGAGTGGACGACTAGCGGCCGCCTGGCGGGAAGGAGACGGCCGGCCCGCTTGCCCGGAGCCCAGACCGTTCGTGACGGCAGGGCAGGAACGGTGGGCGCAGCATGGAAGGCGCGACCCAGCAGACCCGGCAGGCCCAGCAGGTCCAGCAGGCCCCAGCGGGCTCCGCCAGGATGGGATCGAAACGCCATGCAGTTTCTCATCGTCCTACTTAACCTTTTGCCGAGTCAGCATCAAAACGGGTCTTGCGTTCCCGGGCCTGCGCCGCTACGTACCGGAGAGCGTGCGAGTGAGTGATACAGACACAGGCGTACGTATACGTCCGAGCCGGCGGCATTGAAACGAGCACGGGACACGAGACGTCGTGCAGCGAGGACCAAACGGATGGTGCCCGCGTTGACGCGCGAATCGAGGGCCGGGTGCGGGCGGGCGACGGCACTTTGGCCGTCATTCTCCGATTTTCGTCTGCTCGCACGGCGTTTGGGTATACAGTAGGCGATGGCGGCGGCGGCGGCCGAGTGCGCGCTCTCTCCCTCGAGGCAGGCAGGGAAGCCCAATGATGGAGCAGCTGACATCCAGTCAGTCCGACTCCGGGCCCGACACTCTAGAATTCCACCCGCGACGAGGGGCGAGGGGGGCAGGCGGCAAAGGGAAACCGGAATCCCACGGCGCACGGCATGGTTCACGCCACGACTCCATCCCTGTCCGTCCCCAAAGTTCAAACGCTCACGACCCCAGAGCTTCATGCAGCTCACGGCCTGGGCGGGACGAACGCGAGCCACTCCCGCGCGAAACAACCCCCAACCCTTCCCCTTCCCGCCTTGTGGAACCCCGGGCGGGCGGCCGGTTGACGGGCCAAAAGTATCCTGTACTTGGGCGCTTCCGCGCAATGTACCGGCTACAAGGGCCGCGCGGAGCTTGCTTGCTTGCTGCGTGTGACAGAGTTGCGATCGCAAGCGCCCCTCCTTCGGCCCCGTTTCTGCGCAGGGATCGAGGAACATTCCGTGGCTTTGAGTGACGTTGCAGGGGTCCTGGCCATGCATTGCCAATCTCCCGAGATTCGGCCAGGCCGAGTCGCGCCATGCGTCAGTTGGGTCAAGCGGCGCTGCTCAAACGCATGGGCCTTTCGATATAGCACCTGGAGCGCCATGGCGGCGGCAAACAAGCAAACAAGCAAACAGCGTTGAAGACGAGACGCATGGAGCAATTAACGCACCTTCGGGGCCGCCGAAATGAGGTCCTTCAAAGCTTATGCATACAGCGGGACGACGAATGCACATGCATGTGCGCGTCACGCCTCCGAGTCCGACGTGGTATGTATTATACTTGAATACAGGGAGTTCATCTCCAACGTGGCGTTCATGCCTTGAGCTCTACTCGGTCCACGCATGCGTGGCTCCTCTCTCTACTGATTTCCGGTGTTGAGCGGGCTCTTGGCGTCATAGACGTCGGTCGTGATGAGCTCCGGGTACTCGACACCTCCTTGCTTCAACACCTCCTCCATGGTCTCCATGATGACGATGCTCTCGGACCATGGCAGCGTCGCGCTCTCCTTCTTTCCGTCTCGCACGCAACGGGCGCACTCGTCGGCCTCCCAGAACATGCCGTGGCCCCAGTTCCGCTTCGGGTCCTTGGGAATGGGGCAGTCGACGACATCGACCTTGCCCTCCCTGCCCTTCTTGATGACGCGGAACTCGGTCGGTCGGAAGGCGGGGTGCGTGACTTGGATCTCGCCCTTGGATCCTTGAATCCGGATGGCAGGGGCCGTGGTGTTATCGTCGGGGTTGCTCGCGACGAGGATGGAGGTGGTGGCAACGCCCATGCTCTTGTGGCCGGGGAACTGGCAGATGATGCTCGTCATCTCGTCGGCGCCAGTCTTGTACTTGTTGATGGCAGCGACAACCTTGGGAGCCTCCTTGTCCTTTTCCGGCTGGACGTGATAGAGAGTCTGGAACACCCAAGTCAGGGCGTAGATACCGAGGTCCAGGAGAGCGCCTCCAGCGAGGTCCTTGTTGACCATGCGGTGCGTGTCGGGAAAGTTGACCGTGCCATCTTGGCCGTCCTTGTTCTCGTTGAAGGACAAATCGGCTGTGTCTGTCAGCGCCACTGTCGTTCTGCGACGTGTGAGAGCTCAGCCAAGGTAGACTCACCCAAGGTCCTGTAGACGGTGCCAATCTCGCCCGAGGTGATCAGCTCTCGGATCTTGATGCTGAGGGGGAAGTAGCGAGTCCAGACGGCCTCCATGAAGAAGAGGTTCTTGGACTTGGCCTTTTCGACGAGCTTGCGCGCCTGAGAGGCGTTTACGGTGAGTGCCTTTTCGCAGAGGACGTTCTTGCCGGCGTCGAGGGCCAGCATGGCGTTTTGGAAGTGGTGGCTGTGCGGGGTGGCGACGTAGATGATGTCGACGTTGGGGTCGGCGACGAGCTCGGTGTAAGAGCCGTAGAGCTTGGCCGAGGCCGGGCCGTCAATCTTCTTGACGAAGGCGGCGGCCTTGTCGACGGAGCTGGAGGACGAGACGGCGACGATTTCGTGGCGGACGTCGTGGACGTCGCGCGAGGCGGGATCGGTGAGGAGGTCCTTGCAGAAGACTGCGCAGGTTGTGAGAGTGTTGTTAGCGGCGGACGTCATGCATGGGCCGGGGCCGCGGCCGCGACGTGATGGTTTGGGATGAGCGTACCCTCGGCGATCCAGCCGGTGGCCATGATGCCCCATTTCAGGGTGTGAGGTGCGCCGGAAGCCATGGTGGAGGAGCGGTTTAATCGACAGGCACAAGAGGAGCGACAGCAATTGAGTAAGGGCGTATGAGGATGAGGAGCTCTCGGTGAAGCTCTGGAGGGGTAGAGTGAGGTGCCGTGTGGCTTTTATGGATCTACGCAACTACTACGTACGTGCTGTCACTAACGTTAGTTAGGAGGGGATGGGAAGGCATCCGGCGGCCGGGCGGTTTTTGTGTGGAGCGGGACCGCGATGGAGAAAGCCCATGGCTAGCTTGCAGCTCGCTAGTGGCAGGATAGAGCGAGGGCAGAACGTGGCACGCCTTCGCGGACATCGTATCAGCGGGAGGGCTTTTACGCGTGGCCCGCCCAATGGGTTCAGCAGTAGTAGCAGTGGTGGTTGTTGCCGTTGCGGATCAAAAGGGCATCCGTCGGCTAATGAGTGATGATGGATGGGCTTGCGAGAGCCACGCCGCCGGAGCTGGAGCCCTCCTGATATCGGGGACGGACCGGCAAGCGGCACCATTGGCGCGGATGGCGGAGACTGTGGCCGGTTCGGTTCTCATGGGGGCACGGGACGGGGGGCATGGGCTTGTCGTTGACTGCCGTTGCTTTTCGCGGCGAGTCTTCTTCGCCTTTGATCATCGTCGGCTTCTTTGTGCCGAACGTAGCGTTTTGCTTAACAATCAACTGCCGTTTCGGCGTGACTCTTACTTTTCCCATCCTGACGTCTCCATACGGTTCTTATATACTGGGACGCTGCAAGGTGGGCTGAAGGGCGACCCCGCGGTGAGGGTGAGCCTGTCCGGTCTGGAGAACATGGAGGGGTTCGCACTCTTTTTTCCTTCTGCGCGCGACGAGTCGATGGTGGGGTAAAGTGGATGGACGGGAGGGGAAAAGTCGCGTGTGGTGGCGTCGACGTCATGGCCGGGCTGATGTTGGGCTCAGTGGGCTGTTAACGTTACTTCGACAGCGGCTGGGGATTCTCTTCCACGCGAGCGCGCGCTCTGGAGACTGGGGTTTCACACTAAGACTGCAAAAGGGAGGTTGCTTCGGTGCCGTCTTTTGACTACAAATGTGCCTTGATGGGCTGTCGCGGCTCTGCTACCCCGTAGGCTCGCTACGACCGGAGCAGCCGCAGTAATTACGTCTAGTACTGACCGAGGCAGGGCCAGTGGTCTCGATGAAGGTCTGTCCATGGGTGCCTTCGTTATGAACTCTGCACTTTCGTATTATGTACACGGCGTGTCAGCTGCAACGGTGGTCATGTCCACGGTGATTTTATTTAACGTGTGAATGCAGATGAAATGCACAAAATCCATGCTAGCAGAGTCCGGCTACCCCAATCAGGAGAGGCCGTGCCCGTTCGATGTCTCATCAGGCATCGCCCAACACGGCGCGTGTCTATACATGCGCTTCCCACCGAGCTCACTATTCCTCTCGGATCAGCGAACTCGATGGCCACAACCGCGTCGCCATGGTGGCATCCTATGAGCTATACGATGATGAGGCCTGGGGTCGTGGCGAGGCCATATTTGACGCCCTGCGAGGTACAATCTTCAATCAAGACCTCTACTACGAAATTGCAAGGTTCGTCACAAAACACCGAAAGGGTGGCAGGCCGACCAAATTTCACCCTCCGAAGCTGGGAGGATTCAATTTCCACTACCGCATAGAGTATTCTGATGGCGACTCTGCCATCATCCGCTTCCCCTTGCCGGGTTACTTCCAGATAGCCGAGGAGAAACTCCGTGCTGAGGTTGCTGCGATGCGATATATCGCCGATCACACCACGATACCCGTACCGTTTGTCCTCCACTATGGCATGACAGACGAAAGCCCGGGGCGGCTCGGGCCCTTTATAATAATGGAGTACATTGACAACGCTGGTGACATGGTCGATGTGCTGAGGGCAGCAGGGCACACGCCTGGGGAGAAGCCAGTCCTGGATCCGGACATAGACGAAGAGAAACTGGAACACATATACGGCCAGATACCGATATCATGCTTCAATTGGCCTCGTGCGACTTCTCCAGAATTGGTTCCCTGGGGACGAGAAGCCGCGATGGCGACGACATCAGTGACCCAGACGCCATATGTCGGCCGCTTTCATTCAACATGGCCCAGCTCGGAGAGGTCGGGGGTACCCCTTTCTTCGAGTTTCCCGACACATCCAAGACCTTCTCCACCTCGTCAGAGTATTATTCTGCTTTAGCCGACATGCATCTACAGCAACTCTCTTATCAGCGGAACCAGGCCGTCAAGTCAGCGGACGACTGCCGCAAGAAGTACATCGCCAGGTGAGGATGCTGCACGCTCAGCTCCAAGTACGCAATTTCTGACGGCTCATCCAGGCAATGCTTCCGCAAGGCAGCTGCCAACCATCGGATGGCTTCACCAGACACGGACGCCGGTCCTTTTAAGCTTTGGTGCGACGACTTTCGGCCGGCCAACATTCTCGTTGACGCAGCCCATCAAATTGTAGGCGTGATCGACTGGGAGTTTACCTACGCCGCCCCTGCCGAGTTTGCGTACTCGCCACCGTGGTGGCTTCTCCTCATCATGCCCGAAGAGTGGCCAGAGGGGCTGGATGATTGGGCGGCCAAGTACGAGCCGCGGTTGAAGACTTTCCTCCGGGCCATGGAGGCCAAGGAGCGCGAGTTCATACAGCAAGGCCGACTCGACGAGTCGCAGGTACTGTCCACGCGAATGCGCCGCAGTTGGGAGACGGACGACTTTTGGGTCGCCTACGCGGCGCGCAAGTCCTGGGCATTTGATGGCATCTTTTGGAGGACCCTCGACAGGCGATTCTTTGGAGACGACAAAGGCGGGTTCATGGAAAGGCTGAAGCTTCTGTCGCCAGAACAGGCTGCTGCGATGGAAGGCTTCGTTGAGCGGAAGCTGAAGGAAAAGCAAGAGTGTACTTTGATCGACTGGTATGGCGAGGAGGCCGAGTCGATGCCCCCGTCGAACATCCTCGATGTGGGCTGACTGGAGCTGTAGCATACCTGCTCTCACACCTCTGCGGTAAGGAAAAGAGAAAGGACAGCCCTCATACATGCTCGAAAGCCGTGCCCGTCTTTTGCCATGTGCTATGAGATTGAGCAGTCCAATGGCCGCCCTGACCATGACAACATAGCTGCGGATCGTTGTCGCTCGAGGTGACACCACTGTCCAGCAACCGGCAGTGCGCCCGTGGCACATGTATGCATCCTGAACAGACTGCCTACACTGAAACGCACCCACAGCCTTTGCCACGTCGGCAGCAAGCGGTCCAGGTGACTGGCCCGATCTTTCTCCTGGCATGCCCTTGTCCTCAGGACTCTGTGACGATAGGACTCAGGTTTGAGTGGACGCATCGAGCTCCAAGGCTTTGATTGCCAGTGGGGGCTAAGGGTCATGTCTTCGTAAACAAGGATCATTCGGAGATAGTCCGTTGTCAAAGGCCTGTTCGAAGCCAATATTTGGAAGTTGGAGTTGCCACACCGCTCAAGACACTAGGGTATCTACACTTTGACACTGTGAGCAAGGCACCTCGCGTCAGCCCAGCTTGCCTCACTCGCTATACCCTGCCGTCTGAAGTTCACTTGAGAGTAAAGGGGTTGAGTGGAGAATCTGTTAGATCACATGGTAGCACAACAATTGCTGTCAAATGGACACGAGAGATGTTCGCATCAAGCCTCGTTCCAGAATCCCTTCTTCTGCTTGTCACCATTGCCAGTCCCCCTCCCAAAATAACATCACCCAGCGCCACCCACGGTGACTGTGATTGGACAGAACGCGAAATGGCACGCTGTCAGGGACCAGGCGACGCGCGCGTGAAGGGAGGAACGAGTGGGAGGAAATGAGTCTCTGCGGCCGCAGCTCAACGGGTCGCGCGCGTCGGACCAGGATGGTTCTGTGATACAAGAAAGATGCAAGGAGATTGCCCTGCGCGCAATTTTTTTTTTCCAACGCTGGCTAGCATCATAATGTGCGCGAAAGGCTTTAATACCACAAGCGCATCGGTGCCTCCGTGCTTGCCGGACCAGCTTGAGGGAGCGGCCATCTCTCTTTTTCCCTGACTGCGGTCCAGCAGTTCCTATCAAGTGTACCACAAGGTCTGGTGCCGTGGATGAGGAACAGCATCGAGAGGCATGCTCAGCTGTCGGACCCTGCACTAGTCGACCTTTGTCTCGCCAAATGGACCTTCCAGAAGATCAGATCAGCTTCGAGTAGGGTTGTTCTGAGACTCGCTGGGTTCAAGGGCGCGAAAGGAGAGTGCCTGTAAGTTTGGAGCTGCCTGATCTAACTGCCAGTTCTGTATGTCACAAAGCCGACTAATCATGCTACTTCAATAGCAGTCTGACTCTATTGGCCTACGGCACATACCGCGCTGAGGTTGCTGTAGAGTGTATGCGAACTTCGAGACGTTGGTACTCCAAGCGTGGGTCATCCCTGAGGTGGGAGTATACCGTTTCTTGCCAGCTAACAAAAAACATATGATAGAAGCAAAGTGACATCTCGCCTCGACAGTATCGGTATGCAGCCTACCAACATGAATCCGTGCGACTCACCTTGTATCGCCATGCGGTCTCGCCGTATGTCCCTGAGCTCTGCGCTTCTAACTGCAAACTCAGGCGGGAGAGGCACGTCGTCACCGGAAGACATTCGAGCGATCCCGGTGGGACAATCGACCGAGTCAAATAATTTTTGGAAGAGCAGGGGCACACAGACGGACTCGAACAATGGAGTCAGCACACAACTTGATGTCCGTGAGCTCTGCGAACTGGTGCATCAACTGCGCCAACAAATGCAAGAATCTGATAGAGCATCGGTAAATCGTGATTACCAGCTCAGCAAGAAGATCAACGACAGAATGACTAGATTGTCGAGAGATATCCTCCAATCACTGCAGTTGAACCACTTCGCAGGAGGAAAGGGTACATTACGGGCTCTGGGCCAACTAGAAAAGCCAATGTCGCTCTGCCCAGAATTACCCCCCATGACAAGCGCTCGTCACAAGGAGACCGGTGATGCTAATTCTACTGATTCGTCTACGGACCTGGAGAGCGATTCATTGAGCCCTCATGCGCCCAAGAGTGGTCCGGGGAGTCGTGCAGCAGCGAGTCTTTACGCCCTCTAGCCACCCATAATCGGTCACCGCTTTCGTCCCCCGACCCTATCGCACGGCTGACGCCCAACCTCGGATTCGGTCGCGCTCAGCCATGGAACACTTCTTCGGTGCTTTATGCCCCATTACCAGCAAATAACAGAACTCTCTTGGGGGTGGCGAGGAACAACTTGGCGACAAGGATCTATCGACCATCAGCCGGAGATAGTCCAGCATCGGTCAGAAACGACCCTGTAGCATTGAGCGATGAAATCCATCCAAGTAGCCTCGAGTCCTCCCCTGCCAAAGGCGCGTCGTCCACGGACAACACTTATTCTCCCTGCTCGCGTAGCAGCGACACCGCGTCGGATGTCGCCGAGGTATGGACTGCTGACGATATACCGTGCCATGACCGCCGTGGAGCCAGCAAGCTCGCGGTCATGCTCCCCGCGCCAGGCCCATCATTGAAGCGGGAGGTGGATGGTGCGTGGCACAGCTTCAGCGCCGAGCATCGGCCGGTCAAGAAAAGGAAAAACTGGATCAATCCGAAGAACCCGGGGAGCAGACCTGGTATCGCAGACGGAGCAGCTTCTATTGACCCTGGCAGCGAACAGATTTTGATCAGTCGCATTCTCGACAGGAAGATGAAGAAGAACAAGACGACCTATTACTTCGTCGAGTCGCCGGACGGAAACAAAGGCTGGCAGCGACCCGAGAACCTGAAAACTTACGACCCCCGCGTGCTTGAAGACTTCAACAAAGGCTATCGAGGGCATGATGCGGGCATCTTGGTCCTAGACGCGAAGCAGGATCCCACTGGGGCTCAGTGGGTTCAGGTGTATTTTGTTAGAACCGGCTGCAATCAAGAATGGCGAAACGTTTGGGTCAAGTCGAAGCTTGTGAATCCTAGCAAGCTGAGGGACTGGTCGGCCAAGCTGACTGGGGGGGCCGTTGAGGAGGTGGCTGATTTGCCTGCGAGCAACTGCGTGTATAAGCGTGATATGGTGGGCCATGCGGACATGGACTAAGCAATAAGGTGATGCGTAGTGACGAACGATTTGCTTCAGGAAATATAGACTACTAATCTTTTCCGTTTTAATATATAGATTCATAGAATGAAACACCTAACACAGCAGGTGACCTGGGGCGTAGGCATAAGTAAACTGTCGAGCTATGGAACAATACCGTTCTCATTAATGGAGCCTAGAGGGTTTGACTCTTTCCTCCTGGGGCCCTCCGGGGGCGCCTGCGCCGAGGTATTTGCTTTGCGGTAGCGAGCTTTTTGTGGCGACGAGCTCTTGCTTGGGAGGAGCGAGATTCCCTGCGGCGGCGAGCGCCTTCCAAGATACTGCGCTAGCGCTTTTTATGGCATAAGCATGGGACAGCAGCGGCGCGCTACGTATTACTATTGCTGTCGTTGCTGTCGTTGCTGTCGTTGCTGTCGTTGCTGTCGTTGCTGTCGTTGCTGTCGTTGCTGTTGCGGAAAGTAAACCCCAATGGGCTCTATTTGATACTTTGTCGCTACAGTAGGTACGTAGCTCGGCAGCTTTGCTCTACGCCTACGCCACAGGTCACCTGCAGCGTCGGGTATTTGAGTTGCCCGAATCATCAATTCGGCCGCGGCCAATTGCCGTCCGTTCATTTGCAACTTTCCCAAACAGCGAGCAAAGACTGCGTCCGACAGTCGGCAATCGTCATCATGACTTCGCCCGCGGCAGCCACCGGCCCGCAGACGTCAAGCCTCATCATCGGCAACGCCTTGTCCATCCCGAAGCTCATCTATGGCACAGCCTGGAAGAAGGAGCGCACTGCCGACCTGGTCTATGCCGCGCTCAAGACCGGCTTTCGCGCGGTCGATACAGCCGCGCAGCCGAAGCACTACGACGAGCGCGGCGTTGGCGAGGGCATCGGGCGCGCCATCTGCGAGGGCATCGTCAACCGCAAGGACCTCTTTGTAGGTGGTCACAGCCCATACAAGGCCGCGCCCCGCGGATAGCTTTGTCTAACAAGAAGGCATTCAGATCCAAACCAAGTTCACGCCACTCAATTCTCAGAGCGAGACGCTCCCGTATGACCGTTTCGCACCACTCGTCGACATGGTGCACCAATCCGTCCAGTCGTCCCTCAAAAACTTCACTTTCGTTGGCCAGGAGCCGTACCTCGACGGCCTTATCTTACACGGACCCATGGATACCATAGATGACACCATGATAGTGTGGAAGACGCTGGAGTCGTATGCACCGCATCGCATCCGCCACCTCGGCCTCTCCAACACGACGCTAAGTACACTTGAAGCGGTCTACGCGCGTGCGTCGCTCAAGCCCGCGATCGTGCAGAATCGCTTCTGGAGCCGAACAGGCTTCGAAAGAGCACTGAGGTCCTACTGCCGCGAGAATGACATGGTGTTCCAGGCCTTCTGGACCATAACCGCCAACAGGGAGCTCTTGGAAAGTGAACCAGTGCGCTTCGTCGCGCAAAACGCCGGCGTGGACGCCGTGGCGGCGTACTATTCGCTGCTCGTCGCCTTGGGGAACCTGGCGGTGCTGGACGGGACAACGGACACGGCGCACATGGCTGCGGACCTGGAGATCGAAAAAGTCGGCTTGTGGGCTGACAATGAAAACCGTGCCTGGTCGCAGACGCTGAAGACCTTCCAAGCCATGCTAGGAGACCTGTAGCGAGAGTGTACAACAACGAGGGCAACGAGGGCAACGAGGGCAACGGAGGCAACGACAGCAATATCACTAATGGTAAGAACAATAGCGAATGATCATCAATAGGCAGAGCGCTGCTATCGTCCTATGCCTGCATACTAAAAATCGCTGGCGGAGCATGGGGGCAGGGCGCGGCCGAGGAACAAGTAGAATAGTTGTATAACTAGCAAAACGTGGCTCTAAGAATAGCACTACTTTTGTTCATTCAGTCGTAATTATAGTTTAATGCTGCCTCTATATGTCCTTGGCAAATGTATTGGCAACAATGAACGGGAAGCAGGCGGTGGCCTCGAGATAGACCTGGTGCAGAGTTAATTTCGAAACGACAGGCCCTCCCTTACACAACTGGCCAAAGAAGCACATACCTTGACGTTGTCTGCCCCAATCTTTATCTTGCCCCACGAGACGGCCTCGTCGGGCCTGGCGCCCGCATCGCTGCCGTCAAACTCCTGCGCCGTGTTGATGTAGACGGCCGACTCGGCGCCGTTGCGCATCAGGCAGGCGTTGGCAATGTGGTGCTTGACCAGGCCGCCGCCGAGGATGATCATGCCCGCGCGCTTGGCGCGGACCGAGATGGTGTTGATGCGGCGAATGTCCTCGACGATGTCAATCTTGAGCTGCAGCGGCGACGACTTGAAGGTGTGGAAGTAGAGCATGTCGCCGAGGCTGCCGTCGGTGAGGGCGGGGCAGAAGACGGGGATGTTGTTCTTGTAGGCCCAGTAGTAGACGGATCGCTCGTCGTTGATCTCCTTGCCGAGGCGGTGGATGACCTTGGACGGCGTCCAGTTGATCTCGTCGTCGGTGCCCTTGCTCGCTTCCTGCTCCTCCAGCATCTTGTCGAGAATGGGCACGACCCAGTCCTCAAAGGCGCAGTAGTTTGCGTTGGGCACGATGAGGTTGCCGATGCGGTTGAGGCCCTTTTTGCGCAGGTCGGCGCCGACCGCGCTGAAGGAGCTCATGTACGTCTGACCGAGGCACTTGATGAAGTCCTCCTCTATGCCGCCTGCGGTGGTGACGATGCACGAGACGTGGTTGTGCTCGACAAGCCAGCGCAGGACGCCGCGGAGGCCCGACGATATCAGGTTGGAGGTGTAGCCGAGGAAGATGGTGGTCTTGTCTCCCGTCTCGGGGTCCCTCCACGCCCGCTTGTTTAATGCCTCACTCAGTATGTCACGCTGAGAGGAGGAGCGAGTAGGGAAGCACTTACCATGTCGTTGATGATGCGTATGGCTTCTGCCATGGACGAGGCCTGGAAGCCCATGTGGCGCATGCCATCAAGCAGGTCCTCGGCCGTGACGGGGCCCTTGAGCTTGTTGAAGTCGAGCTCCTCGACCTGCTGCGACCCCGCAGGCATATCCTCCGACTTTACGAGGACGGCATCCTTGGCCCCCGTGAGGACCTCGCCGTCGGAGTTGGCCATGGCAACGCAGGGGTGGTGAGAGGCAGCGTGAGCTGCAAGATTTTTGGTGTCGTGGTTTCCTTCGAGATGGCCCGGATCGACTCGAGGAAACTGGTCAAATTGTGCGTAAATATATGCGTGATGAGATAGATGGCGGCGTGGACGTGCCAGGAGAACGCGGGACGGAATGGCACGTTCACAGCACCGTCACACTGATAAAAAAGTCAGTCGAACGATTGTGAGTGTGAATGACACCGTCGTAGTTGTCGATGGACCCTGGATTTTTCACCCGTGCCGTCCGTCCAATCCAATGTAAATGTCCGGCGCGCCGGCGGTCCGTCCAGCGGACTCGGGTGGCCACTAAAATGGCTCGCTGGGCAGCCACTACGGAGCCGGTGGCAGTGGTGACGCGGGCGGGCGGCGGAGGTGGAACGGGGTTGGGGGTCCCGACGCGAGAGGCTGCCATGCTGGCCCCTGGCGACACTGGGCTGCTGCAGGTGAATCAATCTGGGCGGGCTCGTTGTCTCGGTTGGGTTGGCTCGCCTCAGTGGCCCGCCATCTGGAATACCCGACGTTATTGTGGGGGGGCATGGCACGGCATGCGAGCCTGATGATTGACGACCGCGGGCAACCACCCGACCTTGTGAACGGAGGAGCCTCTACTAGGTAAGGTACTCCAGGCGCTAGGAACGGGCTTGCAGGTACTTCGTACTGCCCAGGTGCCGCGCAGCGCTTGCGTACTTGGGTACGGGCCCGGCCCCCCTGATGAACGGCCCACCGTCGGGGGCTCCAGGCGTTCCATCCGCTGAGCTGGATGGGTTCGCATTTGCCCAAGCGTTTCCGTTGGCGGTTGCACGCGCTACGCCTGCCGGTTGGTGACCCCTGGCCGCAGCAGCAACAACCTGCAGCAGGCCCAGCGTACTCGTACCTGGACGGCAGGACCCGACATCACCGCACGCAGGCACGCAGCACTGAGCCAAGTGCGAACGCGCAAGGCGGGCGGGGTTAAGAAAAATCCAACGTCTGCAATACCTTGATCAAATCTCTCTCACGCCACTCCCAGTCTCTCTTGCACATCCCGCCGCCGCTGCGTAGCGCGCGCAAACGAACTCTCAGCAAGTCAAACAAGTTTTGAAGGCATCGCCAAGTGCCCGCTGCAACTACAGGAGAAGGTACTGCCGCCGCAACGTCGACGAGGCCACCGGCCGGCCGCGCCCAAAGAAGCCTAGCGCGCGGCGGCAGTTTTGGCCTGACCCAATCCAACCAAGCGCCACGCGATCCGGGCGTATTTTGAAGGGCTGACGGGCCGGGGAGCACCATCTCAACCTTCAATCCTGCATCCCATCCCATTCACCCTCACTCTCTGCATTCATCTCCTTGGCCCCCCGTGCCAGCCTGGCGACCCGCCCGGCCCTCACGCGCTCGACACCTCGCCGACGGAGCACCTTGCAGCCCTATTGACGCCTCCGAGAGTCCGCGCCGACCCTGCCCGTCGCCTACCTGCTCTTCGCCGGGCGCGCGCCGTTGCACGGCCTCCTTCGTCGAACCACGCACCCACATAATTGCCGAGGGTCCAGCGCCGGCCCCGAACCCTCGCCAACCTTGTTCCTTCTGCCTTCTCACGCCCGTACCCCCCGTTCCCGTTCCCCGGATGGGACCATAGCCGCCTGCGCATCGAGTGTTGGGCTCCTGCCCGCCATACGTTATGTACGTATTGTCCAGCCTGGCGTCCTGACCCTTGCCATGGCCCGAGTCCCTCGCAATGGTGGCCGGGGCCGCAACCACGGCAGTGGACGCGGCCGCGGTTTGCGCGCGGGATTCCTTGAGATCGGCCAGGAGCCGCCCGCCCCAGGTGCATCTCTTGCTCACAATGATTTACCCTCCAGGGCGTCCAGGTACTCGAGGTACGAACCCGACCGCCGGTCGAGGTCTCCTAGAGATCGGTCGCCAGACCGTTTCGACAGGAACTCTCAGTACGGTGATGGGGACAGGCGGCGCTCTTCAGCCGAGTCGAGGCCAAATGCCCCGGGTTTTCAGAGCCGCGATTCATTTGGCCGGGAGCCGCCGCGCGGGCCCAAGGCGCTCGTCGACGCTCCCAGCGGGCCTCGTGGTGGAGGCTTTGCCGGCGACTTCAGAGGCGGTAGAGGTCGCGGCCGTGGCCGAGCCTGGCCTGCGCGAGACGAGTCTCGGGACCGCGGTAGAGAAAGGGACATGGACTACCGAGACAGGTACCGCGACGAGAGGAGCCGAGAACGTGACCGAGACAGGGACCGTGATCGCGAGCGAGATCGTGACCGAGATCGAGACCGTGACTGGAGAGAGACGAGAGACTTCCGATCCCGACGCTCACCCCTAGGTCGAGCGCGATCACCAGCTCGAGACTTCCGAGACCGAGACCGAGATGGCCCGCCCATCGCCGACGCAGACAGGTCCCGACGCGGGTCCCGGGACGGCGGTCCTCCCTCTGCAGGCTCCACATCCTCGGATCCCCAGTTCGGACTGCCTCCTTTTGGGCGCGGTGGAAGTTTCATGCGGGGTCGCGGTGGTAGGGGCGGTAGGGGCGACTGGTCCTCAGACAGAGGCCGTGGCCGTACCCCCTACGACGACCGAGGGGATCGCTACCCCAGGAGTCGCTCCCAGGAAGGGCGATGGGGTCGAGACCGAGACGAGCGCGACCGCGGCGACAGATATCCCCCCGAACCTGATGTGCGACGAGACCCTCGCGACGAACGAGAGAGGGGCGAGCGCGACTTAATACGGCCAAAGAAGGAAGCCCGGCCGTCTATCTCCCAGGAACCCTCTCAGATTCGAGACGTGTCGCCGCCACCCGTTGCTCCATCGGCACCGGCATTTGGCTCTGTGCCCAGTCGCAGTGCCAGTGGAAGTGACGCCCCGGCAGCTTCAGGAACTGGTAAACCCCCTCCCACCGCTCCGCGCGCATACAGCGAGCGACCCGTCTCCGCTGGCCACGACTCGGCGCCTCCAACGGGACCGTCCCGAAAGTCGGTTCACGATGCGCCTCAGATTCCTGTAGGACCGCGGGCGCAGCAACCACACCCCGGCAGCAAGCAGTGGGTCAACCCCAACTTGAAAAAGGGCCCGGAATCGCCAAAGATCATGAGAGCCCAGACCTTTTCGCAGTCCGGACCGGCCACGCTACGGCGTGGAAGCTCTCAAATCGACCAGACCGAGCAGAGTCGGCCTCGCAGCAGTGATGCCAAATCGGACACACGGCCGTCGGAGTTTGAAGACAGGTCTCGCTCCCACTACAGCGCTGAGCCCGGAGAGATCGTTAAGTTCGAGCCCGAATCTCGTGATCAGAGCGATTACAAAGATCGAAGCGCAAAATCCGCCTCAGCCGGGAACTCTCCTGCTCTTCAAACCTTGTCCAAGTTCCCCAATCGAAAAGTCGCGGAGCCAGAAAGGCCGAGCAAGCAGGCCGTGGAAGCACCGAAGCGACGTCGGAGAATGCCGACTGTCCCCGTTGTGCGATTCGCAGTCCCCGCCAAGAAACCGCCAATCCAAGAACATGACTCTGAGTCGGACGACGATGACATGGCCGATTACTTCGACATGGAGATACAAAAGACCGAGGCCGAGCTCAGCAAACTTCCCAAGCCAAGCCTACCGCGGGGTGTAGTGGCACGATACGCGGCCATGTCTCACGGTGCAATGGCCGAGTTGCTTAGCAAAAGCGAAGGCTTGACCGAGATGCTTGGTCCGATTCCCGAAGAAGTCAAGATAGCTGAAGCAAAGCCCATCGAGCAGGTGCCCGCTAAACCCAAAGTCTACGACGAGATAACGGCTCCGGTTTCCAAGGAGGAAGAGCCGACTACGTCCGACACATTGGCCAAGATACCTGAGCCTACGGAGGTTCCCGAGTCTCAGCCAACGACAGATGCGATGGACGTCGACGTGCCGAGTGCTGATGCAGCCCCCGCGGCACCACAGGTTCCTTCAGCTGAGCCCAGAGCCGAGGAGGAGGCCAAGAGAGGCAGCGTTGGCCCCACCGCGCCAGCGAACGATGTCGGTGCCATTTCTGGCGAAGCCTCGCGACAGTCTGTTCCATCAGAAACGACAGGCGTCGGGTCGAAGCCCCCGAGTACTCCGTCGCAAATCCCGGACGAAGATGACGACGAGACCGAATCCGAGGATGAGGCGTTTGTGGATGTCGAAACCGTACGCAGGTACATGAGGACTCCACCGATCGATAGTCTTCCAAACTACTTCACGGGCCAAGACTGGTCAAAGGACGAAGACTTTCTCGCCACGCTCGACTCCGATCCTGTTATTGACAATTTCGTGGCCAAACATCTCGACAAGATACATATCCAGGAGAGGGAGGAGCAGACCAAGGCACAAAAGGCGTACGAGGACAACTATGTCCAGTACCTCAACTTTACCCTGTCCAGCGACCCCGTCGCCGTCAAGAGCAGAGACAAGTTCTCTGTTGCAGCTCCCGTCCCCGAGGTCCCTGGCACCGCGACTCCTGAACCCGTGGCGAAGCCAGAAGGACGCGGCGCCCGAAGATTTGCTTCTGAGCGCGATCTTGAACGCGTATTGCAGGCATCGATGCGAGAGGACGAGGAACGCAAGGAGCGTGAGCTTCGGGCTCAAAAGGAGAAGTATCGCAGCGACAAGGAAGCCGTGATCCCTGACATGTACTGGGACGCCGAGCAGCGAGCAAAGGCTCAGTACACCGATCGTTCAGGGTATACGCCCGTGGAACGCCTTGTTTCAGCTTGGCAGGTGCTACCCCCGGTCAACAACTTCACGCCAGAGGAGGCGGAGCTCTTTGAGAAGGCCTATCTGGAGTTCCCGAAGCAATGGGGCCGGATCGCCGACGCCGTCCCGAACCGTGACTTCCACGCTTGCATACAGTATTACTATCTGATGAAGAAGGAGTTGAACCTCAAAGAGAAACTGAAGAAGCAGCCAAGACGACGCAAGAAGGGCCGAGGCAAGCAAAGATCTAGTGCATTGGTGTCGGAGCTTGGAAACGGGGAACAGGATGGAGAGGAGACCCAGGACACTGGGGACAACGGAGAACGGAGACGACCACGACGCGCCGCGGCGCCCACATGGGGTTTCGAACAGCCGGCGACCGACAGCGAGAACGCGACTCCCGCCGGGACCCCTGGCCGTCGTGGCGCCTCGGCCGCGGCAAGGGCAGAACAAGGCGACAAGGTGGATGGCAGAAAGGGCAGACGCAAGGCTGCCAAGGATAAGGACGCCAAAGGGGCAAAGGCGAACCAGAACCTCGCCGCTGCAGCCACGCCATCCTCCGCGCGAGGACGCTCACGATCCAGCTCGCGGGTGCCGCCAAACTTGCCGCCAACTGCCGAGACCCCGGCGCCGGCTCCGGCTCCGGCAGAACCGAATCGTGCACCTGTCGCATTCGAGCAGCCGCCGGCCCACGCTGGGATTCAGCCGCCGTTCCCAGTGCAGCAGCAACAGCCCGTTCAAGCTGTTGAGCGCCCCAAGCCTGTTGCTGCTTCGTCCATATCCGAAGTCATGGCAGCACCCTCGCTGCGGCCAGAACCGCCGCCACCGCCGCAGCAGACGTCCATGACCTCCTTCCACCTGGCTCAACCCCAATCCGAGCGCAAGACTACCACGCAGGCCTCGAGCTACTGGAGCGTGTCAGAAGCGAACGACTTTCCGCATCTGTTGCGGGCCTTTGGGTCTGACTGGACATCTATCGCCGCCCATATGGGTTCCAAGACGGCCGTCATGGTAAGTTGCACTCATTCCTCGTTCTTGTAGGCTGTGGATCTAACAATTCTCCAGGTGAAGAATTATTTTGTCCGGCAAAAGGACCAGGGAAAACCCGAATGGGAAGCACTCGTCCAGGAAGCGGACGCCAAGCGGTCGCGTGGCGAGAAGCGGCCTGATCCGCCACAGCCGACCGCTGGCGGGCGAGGCAGGAGATTCGAGAACACGACAGCTGCACCTGGCACATCTAGACCCTTGGCCGTTGCCCCAGGTGTGGATGGTCAAGGAGAGCCTTCGCAAGCCAAGATGGACGTCCAGCCTCAACAGGCTCGACCCCAGGGTTTCTCGGGCTACGGCGTGCCCATTGCACAGGCTCCTGCCCAACAAGCCATTGCGCAGCCTGGGCCTCAGCCTGGACCTCAGCCTGGCCAGCAGCCGATTGCTATGCAACAACACGCAGCAGCCGCCCCCCCTCCGGCCACGCAAGCCATGTCCCCTGGAGCTCGCCCTCTCCGCGCCCCCCTTCAGCCATTTGGCTTTCCCGAGCGCGATCACGAACCTGCTCCTCCGGCTCAGCAACAACAACAGCAACAGCGGGCACAACTTCCTCAGAAGGCCGGGAGCTCCGCGGTACCCGAGCTTCGCGAGCAACGACCGCTTGCGGCCGCACAGCCCCTCCAATCAACCCGTCAGGAAGCGATGATGGAACGGCAGAAGCTGGAGATGCAGCAGAGGGAACGGGAGCGAGAACGGGAGAGGGAATTGCAACGCCAGTCGGAGCGCCAGGCCATGAGGATGACGCAAGAGGCCGAGCTCGCAGCCCAGCGCCACTACGAACCGTACGGTCATCGTCAACAATCGAGCCTTGGAGGTGGTCCGAGGGAGCCTTTGTCGCTCGCAAGACCGCCTTCTCAAGAGCCGTCTCGATCCGTTGCTGGGCAGCCGTATCCTCCTCCCATGCAGCAACAGGGCGTCCATGCTGCTCGGGGCATGATGGGCGAACTCGGCGCAGCTCAGTCGCCACCTCTGGGTCCCAACACTGGCCGGCCGGCGTCGTCACTCCAGCAGAGGCAACCCCCTGGGCCCGGCTCGGAGCAATACGGCGTTGCGCCGCCTGCAGCGCCTCCGAGTCGACCACCAGAGCCACGTAAGACGTCCAACATCATGTCACTGCTGAACGACGATCCGCCGCCTGCAGCGAAGAGAGTCAGCGACGTTGCGAGTACCCCCGGACACTCGGCGACGCCGCCGCCTCAAGGCATGGGTCGCCCTCCACCTGGGTCGGCGCCGCCATCGCAAATGCGGCGCGAGCCAGAGCCGCAGTACTCTCCCTATGGTCGAACCCCGTCTGGTGGCCCGAGCATGCCTCCGTTGAAGCCGACGTATGGAGGCTCTCCGAACGCTCCACCACCAATGGGTTCTGCACCGTCGGAGAGAGAATACTATAGGCAGCACGCATACCAGCCACAGCCAGGACACCACAGCAGCGGCACCAACTCGCCTCAGACATCGCAGCGGTATCCGCCTCCCGGACAGCCGGGCCAGGGCCAATATCCGCCGCAGAGTGGCTACCCAACGGCATATGGCGGTGGTGGTCAAGTGCCCCATGCTGCATCTCCGCCGCCGCCTCAGTACGCGGTCCATCAACCGGTGCCTCGAGGTCGCGAAATGCCTCAGGGTGGGCGCGAGAATGCATGGCCGCAGCAGGGCCATCAGCAGCAGCCGCCGGCAATGCAGCAGGCAACCGGATGGCCGACGCAGCCCCCGAAATCTCAAGCACCTCCGCCTCAGCAGTCGTGGCCGCAACATCCCTCCAGCACTCCAAAGCCGTCAACGCCGGCCCCGGCGTGGTCTACCGCGCCTCCACCCCAACAGCCTCACCCGATGGCGATGCGGGACGAGCGCGGCGCATCAATGTACGGTGCCAATTCTCAGCCGCCTCAGCACCGTTACGGCCCACCTGCTTCTCGAGGCCCCGAACAAGTGCCGCCGCCAGCTCAAGCCTACCCTCGGTATGTCTCGACGCCAGGACCCGTCGGACCGCGAGACCCAAGGGAACAGGGCAGGAGCTACACACCCGGCGTGTATGACGCGCGCGGGCCTCCGCCACCGGCGCCAGGCCAGGCGTACCCAGGACCTGATCCGAGGGAGATGTCGCTCCGGGACAACCGTGACCCGCGCGATCCCAGAGATCCACGGGAGATGATGGCCAGAGGGCTGCGGCCCCACGAATACGAGCGCCATCCGGATAACAGATACGGGCGATGATGGGCCGAGCATTTGGCAAGGCCATGGCGGCACGTCATCGGACGGACATAATCACTTACTCTTGTACAAATGACGAATGGGGAGGGGGTAGGCTTCAGGGGGGACTGCGTTGGCGTTGGACAGGAGTTGTATTGGACAGGCGGCCGATAGGGCTGCATGAATCTTGCGACGATGGGCGTAGCTTGCTAGTTGGTAGAATACGGAAGCGTATGTGTACTTTGTACTAAGTCAATCTTTTCTCATGCAATGGTGTTGGTGGTTTTGGTGGTGTTGCTCCGGAGCGAAGGACAGGAGCCATCACTGGCGTAACCCCCCACTCCGGGACAGAGCCGCAGGCAAGGGACCCCACCAGCGGAACTCTGCGCAGCGCGCGTCATCCACGTCGCGACGCGGGGACTGAAATCACCAACATCGACGACCCAACTCCGTCGACCAGCATCGGCTCTCAACCTCATCCACTCCCCCCCTCCACCATGGCGTCTTCCCACCAGCGCTCCGCCTCCGCCATGGACGCGACGGCGGCGCCGGCGACGCGCGAGAAGACGTACTTTGAGCAGCACCGCGAGGCGCTCATCGGCGACATTGCCATGGTTCGTGTTCCCCGTCCTTCTCGTTTGTCCTCCTTCCGTCTCCATCTACGGGAGGGGAGGTGCTTCTTCGTTCCCGTTACCACAACTACACCACGCGCGCAGCAGCGTCACTGACTTGGGTGGGTGGCGCGGGTGCAGAGCTTCGAACACGTCCTCGCCAACATTAACAAGCTGAACCGGTCCCTGGAGGCCGTCATCGCGGTGCGTTTCTACGACCTTCCCCCTTCTGGCTTCCCTTCCTTGGGCTGCTGCTGCGCGGAGGTGTGCGGCCCCGCGTGCGTTGCGTAAAGTGGTGATGGCGGCAGTCGGGCTGACAGCGGATGGGGCGCGTTCGTGTAGGTCGGCAACGAGTTCTCGTCGGTCGAGGCCCTGTGGTCGCAGTTTGAAAACGTCATGGCAAAGGACCAGGATGGAAGTGGCACGGACAGCGGCAGACAGCAGGGCGAGCAGCAGCAGCAGCAACAGCACGATGGCGAGCGGTAACGATACGAGTGGAAAGTGGGAGATGGACGACATAGATATACCCCGTGACGGCAAACTGCCCGGGCCTACGCCAGAGTCACGACACGATCACGACACGACAAACACACACAATCAATCAATTATGAGGATGAAATTTTATTTCCCTATGCCAGTCCCGGAAAAGAAAACGCAAGAATCGTCAGCAGACAACAAAAGAAAGCCAACTGCATCGGAAACGACGAGGCCATACAATGAGGAACAAAAAACAAAGAGAAAAGAGCAAACTCGCAAAAACATTCAACGTCTCGTCTCTGATGGACCGACTAGCGGTCTCGCGTAGCCGCCGTTCCATATATGCCCATGCCCATGCCCCTTCCCATGCCGTTTTCCCTTCAAGCCCTCGCCTCTCTGTAGGCGAGCGCCGCCAGGAGGAGGGTCCGCACCCCTCGGATATATTCATGCTGCGCCCGGCACAGCGACAGCGCAGCAGCTATATACCATAGTTTTGGAAGGACGACGCCAGTGCTCAACTAAGGAGCCCTGTAGAGGGGCCCCGGCGCAGGCTTCATGTGTCGTCGCTTCCGTCTTCCCCGACGTGCAGTTGCGTCATGGCAACTGTCGGAAGCTCGTGTTGTGTTGTGCGTGTGTCCGTGTTGGTCGTAATAGTCCAGTCGTGAAAAGACAAAAGATTCATGCAATGGTCATTACAAGTCTGTAAAGGGCCCGCAAGTCGAATACCAAGGCCACAGGAGGAGGTCCGTGGCGTTTTCTATACCGCCGCGGCCAAGGCGTAGAGCGCTCAGAGGAACTGGCACTTTCTCTTCTTGCGCTTCGGCATGCCCATTCCTGGCAGAGGCGTCCGTGATCGCTCGCCCGCAGAGGTCCGGGGCGGCGCCATGGCTTCCTGGTTCCTCCTGTCGTTGGCTACGACGGTGAGGATGGCGCGCTCAAAGATCTCGTCGACGCCGCGCATCTCCTTGCTGCTGCACTCCATGTACTGGGCACCCATCTTCTTGGCGACCGTCAAGCCCTGCTCCGTGGTGACGGGCGTGAGGCCCTGGGTCTTGAGCATGTCGATGCACGTCTTTTTGTGTCGCAGGTCCGACTTGAGGCCAACAAGGACGAGGGGCGTGTAGGGGCAGAAATGAAGCACTTCAGGGTACCACTGTTGATGGTCAGCAGGGCGGACGAGGTTCATGGGGGCGACGCGGCACTCCTACCTTGTCGAGGACATTGTCAAGAGAGTTGGGGCAGTCGATGGCGAAGCAGACAAAGATGAGATCCGTCTCCGGGTAAGACAGCGGCCGAAGCCTGTCGTACTCTTCCTGGCCGGCAGTATCCCACAGGGCGAGCTCGACCGTCTTTCCCGTGGGTGGGTGCGTCGGGAAGGTGATGTAGTTCTCGAAGACAGTTGGGACGTATTTCTGTCACGGCGCGAGTGCGCGCATCGTCAGTTGGTGTCGGCGCAATGGTCTGGGCAATGGTTTTTACCTCAGGGAAGTAGCCCTGGCTGTAGCTGATGAGAAGACATGTCTTGCCGCAGCCGCCGTCGCCGACGACAACAATCTTCTTGGAATAGGTGGGTGCCTCGGTGATGTGCGTGCCGGCAGACTCGCGGCCGGACGAGGAGCTCATGGTTGTGCTGACGGTGCCCTCGCTGGAGCGTGTGCGCTGGTCGCGACGCGGCGGCTGGTCATATGCCGCGGGTGTGTAGTATGAGTTGTTGTGTTGTTGATACGACGCCATGATGTGCGACGCTGGCTGTGGAGGAGGTGGCCTGGAGCGGCTCGAGGGAGGGAGCGACGACTGCGTTGGCTGACGCCGGCAGTGCGTATGGCTGGCGAGGTGATTGATGCCTCTGAGATTCCTGCTCGCGCACGTCTCCGAGCGTCAAGGCGAGATGATGTTGGCGCTGCCTTCCCGTGCGTTCTCCACTGGTCGTCTGGCCGCCCGAACGTTTCTCTGTTACAGGGTCGAAAGCGACGTTGTCCGGACTGGGCAAAAGCTTGTTGTGAGAGAGGCTGATGGTGGCGCTGCGAGAAATGAGACGCGGCGACGCGGCAGTTGTTGGTCAAGGTTCCAAAGAGGAGATGCTCGATGGAGGGGGGTAGGTATGTTGACGGGGTCGCGACGAGGCAGACGGGGAGTGGAGATGGGATAGATGGCCCGCGACACGAGGAAGATGGAGTTGGTAGGATTGAGATGGGGGGAGGGAGGGGGAATCGGGCGGGCAAAGAATGGAGAGATACGGGGGGGCCGCGGAAGACGGAGGGAACGAGAGATGATCGATCGAGGAGACGGAGCGACGACCACGACGTTCTTTTGGGGGGAGTGGGGGGAGCTGGCCGCCCTTGGTCTCGTGCCGGGCAACAGGTGGGACGCAGATGAAGATGACGAGGGAGACGGCAAAGGCCGACAATAGGATCGGAGAGAGGGCAGAGAAAGAGCTGGGCTGTGCCGTTGTGGGTTGCGGGTTGCGGGTGGACGAGGCGACGGACACGAAACATGGAGCGAGGTAAACATGTTGACAGGGCAACGGGCGGCAGGTCCGTCGCCCGTGGCGGGGCGTTTGGGGGGGCGCTTCTCCGGGGTGCTCCAGTGGTGTCAGCGCTGCCAGCCGCCCAAGGTCGCAACCTGGTTCCAGCCATGCAGGGGTTCGGGTCACAGTGGGCTCCGTGGTGGGCGGGGCTGTCCAATCCTTCCAGGGGGTTCCAAGGCACTGGTGAGGTCGGGTGTTTCCAGGTTCCTGGCCCGGCTGCCCGCGTCGCAGTGGAGGGGCCCCTGGAGGGCCCTGCCGTTCGCATTGTGCGCGCTGCAAACAGCCCTGGAAGGGAGGCGCCCAGTGACCCAACAGTGGAGGCGCCAGGACCTGAGCTCTGGCTGGTTCTATGGATGGCTGCCATTGGCCTCTGCCGCTCGCCTGCACACGGCCCGGCGAAACGATTATTCGCCCGGGCTCCACCCGCAAAATCATCCACGCTCCAACCGCAAACTTCACGAGCTCCTCCTCACACTCTTCGAAAGTTCACCGTTCGTCAAATCTCTGCGTCGAACCCCCTTGCGTCAGACCGCCGCCCCTCTCCAGCGGCCAGCTCCCGCCATGGCGACGACGATGCAGGCCCAGGCGCCGCCCAGCAAGTACGTCACGCTCGTCTCGGCCGATGGCTTCGAGTTCGTCGTGCTGCGCGAGGCGACCCTGGTGAGCCCGATCCTCAAGGGCATGCTCGACCCGAGGAGTGCGTGACGACTTCTCCCTCTCGGATCCTTCCCTCTCGCCCTGCGCCCGTCAAGTGACTCACCGCAGCTTGCTCGCAGGTCAATTCGCCGAGGCCAAGAACGCGCGCTGTGTCTTCCAAGAGATAAGGTGAGCGAGCATCCCGCGCTGCACGCACGCCCTCTTCCCGTCGGCTAGCATGACGAAATCATTGCTCATGATGGGAGCCGCCCGCTGCGGCTGGCTGGTTCCTCGTGATTGTCGCAACTACACTTGACCTGACTTTGGCCTCAACTCTTCCCCTTCTCTGCTTGTCTTCGTTTCGCTGCGACCGGTTGCCCTCAGCTAGAGCTCGCGGCTGACGCCCCGATGCAGCGGCATGGTACTCGACAAAGTGGTCGAGTATTTTCACTACTGGTACAAGTACCGCGACAGCGAAGAGGTGCCAGACTTGGACATTCCCGTCGAGCTGTGCCTCGAGCTGCTCGCTGCGGCTGACTACCTCGGCTTGGACCAGTAAGCCAGCTCCCTCTCGCCACGATCGAGGACCGCGCATCCTGACGTTTGTGGGCAGAGCCAACATGAGCATGAAGTAATGACTACTCAACGGGGCGTATCGCGGACACGGCGGCGTTCTGGCGTTTGGGTACTACTGCTTACTATACCGTGAAAACGAGATTGCCTGATGAGACCCCTCGGACTCGAATCTCCTCGACAGTGATGTTAGTGTGAAATAACTGCACCATTTCAGCATATGCGTTCTGCTCCTCTACTCCTCCGTGGGCCGAACGTCTATTAGAGATGGAAGATGAACGTACCTCCCCCTCACTCTGCGTTGCTCAGTTGACGCATTGGGTTTTCGCTTTTTCTGCGGGGACACATTTTGTCGTGAGACCGACCCGCGTGTATATGTATGACGGTTTCGAGGTCTGTCCGTTCGTGGCACATATCGTGTGCACGTAGCTTGAGGTTGTGCATGGCGAGGCGACCCTAGCTGGGCCGCTTGGCTGTGGCTGTCGTCCGGAATTCAACCTTGCAAACTCGTACCTTTGCTGAGGCAAAGTTCCAAAGTGAGGCTCGTACCTAGATCTATGATTATTTGCAGTATGCTGCTCTAAAGACAGTGGCTTTAGACAAGACCTCTTTCGTTCTGTTGAGAAACACGACTATCGGAGTGTGACAAGCCCACGAAGCACGCCTTGTAGTCCGAAGCAGCAGGGTACGACAGACTGCGATGATTTCAGGCAGTGCCCGCTGACTAGATCAGACCAGGGAGGAGCCAAAAGAGGACTTGAGGCTGGCGGTTGGCTGCATCTATTGATAGAAAGCATGCCTTTTGGTCTGGTGGCTGCCGGTCGTATGTCGCTGAGCAAGCCGCGGCGAAGAATCGCGGATGGAAGATGACGTCGATATTGGCTACACAACATCACAGCTGACGAGGCGTCACGCATGTGTACGAGACAGCACGACTCTATTCTACCTTCGGACGCATGCGAGGTAGCCAGTAGAGCAAGATCGTGCAAGCCAGTTGGTGAAACGTGATATGTAAAGTGAATCCCATGAGACTTGTGAGGCTCGTGACTGATACTTTCGGCCTTCCTTCTGCTCACATGTTCTCGATCAGGAACACAAATTTTGCTCAACATATTTTTAACGCCACTGAAGGATAGGGCGGTGAAGTTTTTCTCAATTCTCTTGCTGGCGAATTGCTTGAGGCAAGTTGGCGCACCGTCGCAACTGGCGGGACTAGGGTTGAGATTGGCAAACCTAACATCTTGGCTAAGCACTCACTTCCAATGTAGCCATCTAGCCAAAATACGTCTTTCGGGCCTCTGAACGTCACTCTTCTATCAAAGGATTCGCTCGACAAATGAGTTTTGCCTAACGGTGCGAATTAACAGGGACTGACCGGCTGTCTACGTACGAAGTAGTATACCATCAATGTGCGAAGCCTGGGAGTCTTATGTGAAATGATTACAACGAGAGCGACAAGGATGTGAAGTACATAAAAGGTAAACCCGGCAACCGCTGGCGCCACTTTTATGCGAAGAACAGTGAGTAATGTAAGGAGGCGGCGGTTGGGTTGCACTCCCCGGCTCTGTGTGCCAATAAAGAAGCACAGTGGTGATAATGAGCTGCAGCATGGAAGTTCCACGTAAATGCCGAAGCCGAGTCTTCCCGTGAGCGAATCTGATCTTGTATAAAGGGAGATGGCATTTTAAGCAACGGTCTTTTGCATTTGTCCCGTTCATGAGCTAGCTAATGCTTCTGTCAGAGACACACGATGCCGAAGCAACCTACCTTCGTTACATTCAGGGGCCACATCCTTGAAGTGGATCCCATCAGGAACACCGATGATGACCATACAGAAGGATCCAAGAGGTGAGAGACATACCAAGTCCTTTTGTCATCTATTTGACCTACATCAGGTCTAGATCCGGCGCGGTTGCGGCGCCAGACGCCATGTTGGCTACGAACGGCCGGACGTATCATGGGTACAACCCGGGTTGTATGTTTCTCAACCTTCCTTACGCATAGCCTATCTATGGCTGATAACTCGAGGTAGCATACTATCTGCCAAACGATGCTGTTGGTCTTGAAACAACCTCACTGTCTTGCGCCGTGGTGCTGACCATGCGACTGGATGAAGGAGGAACAGGACCGCCTTGGTATAGCACCCTGATCTTGCAGACATCAATCATTATTGACAGTATGCGCCATAGATCTCCAGCACGAGATGTGCCTACTCCTACTTGATGCAAAGTTGGGCCTCGCACCCGTGATCGAGCCAAAGTGTGTTCTCGATGTCGCCACTGGGACCGGTATCTGGGCAATACAATATGGTACCGCACCATCACCCTGACTCTACGATACACAGCTTTAAACCAAGCATTGACGTGTACAGCGGAGAAACATCCTGAAAGCATCGTTATCGGCTCTGATCTCAGCTGCATCCAACCTGCCTCTCCCCCGCCCAATTGCTCCTTTGTCCAGCACGACGTAGAGCGCGACTCGTGGGCCTCGTTCGGCCGCTTATTCGACTACATTCACTTGCGCTTCGTCATCACTTGCTTCGACGATACGCACGGCGTTATACGCCGCTGCTTTGAAAACCTGCGCCCCGGTGGTTACATCGAGCTGATGGATGTCTGCCATGACACTGTTGACTTTGACGGCTCCGCTCGCGGCTCGAGTTTCGAGCGCTGGCACAGGGAGACTCAAGACGCGTGGAGCAACAGGGGTCGAGACTTTAACAGGTCGAAGCAGTACCCGGGTTGGTGCCGAGACGTGGGCTTCGTTGACGTGACGGAGGAGCTACTTCCTGTCCCGCTCGGGTCTTGGCCCAAGGATCCACGATTCAAGACCATCGGGAGGCAGTGGATGCTCTCCGTGACGCGCGTGCTCGGTGCACTTGGCACATCCTTCCTGTCAGAGGGTTCGGTGCCCGACGAATTCGAAAAGCTCGAGGAGGCAGCGATGCGCGACTGTCATGATCCGAATATTCACTTGGGCTTTGTGATGTGAGCTGTGACTGATGTGGTATCAAAGCCTACTCTCGCCTCTTTAACTAACTCCATTAATGATTAGCCGTGTTACCTATGGACGCAAACCTGCCTAGAGGCAACACCCGACGCGTCGGGGTGGCTGTATCTGCCAACAAGCAATGCTCGACGGACTACTTGCTCCGGAACACCCCCTTCGAAGAGCCCTAGTGCCGTCCTTCTCGAATTGATACCTCAAACTCTTCTTTTATAATGACCTCGAAGTCCTGCTGCTCTTTCGGTTGATTGAACAAGTCCCAGGCGCGGTCAGCGATGAATTCCGAGTTCAACTGCTTCTTCTCTGGGTCGACGACGCCGCAGACGGTCACAAGGCCTACGCGCACGCCTTTTGGGCCAAACGTTTGCGCCATAGACTGCGCCATGTTGCGCTGGGCCGCCTTGGTCATGGAAAGGACGAATGATTCCGGGTCTGGCTGGTGTGGGAGCTCTGAGCTCGTGATGAGAAGCGAGGGCCGAGCGGAGAGGTCCGTCTCAGCGAGCTTGATGAGCTGCGGGACATAGTGCTTGGCCGTTGCGTGGAGGCTTGTGCACGTAACCTTTCGCACGAAATTTGACACATTCAGCTTCCCCCGGCATATACTTCGGTTCATATCTCATGTCAGGGGAAGCACGCACCTTAAAGTCCTGCTCCATGTCGACCTCGCTCGTCTCCAGCAGGACCGAGGGCCGGACCGTGGCGGCGTTGTAGAACACGCACTCTGCTGGGCCCATCTCCTCGTCCATCTTATTCAGGATGTTGTTGAAGGCCACATGATCAGTGATGTCGGTCGCGTACGTGCCGACCTTGACGCTCGCTCCGGACGCGGCAGCCTTCTCGATGGTGGCGCGGTCGCTGTTGAGCTTCGCCTGGTTGCGCGCGACGAGGGCGACGCGGTTGAAGCCGCGAGTCGCAAAGGCCGATGCGACATGCACGCCGATGCCCGGCCCGGAGCCGATGACGACGAGGAGGCGGTCCTTTTGGTGCGGTGCCATGGCGGAGGGTCGTGTCCCCGTTGCCGTTGCGATTGAGAGCTGGGGTGTGTGATTGACTTCTCGCCAAAGCAATGACTGGTCACAACACAGATAAGTATATGGGTCAAGAGAGGCGGAGAGGAGGCTGGGAGACGTCCTCGTGCAGTAAATGACTTATAGGGCTGCAGGTGACGCCACAGCAACATGATGGAGCCCTTGCCCGATTGCGTCTAAATCCGGCACATCCGGGTTGCACCGACATATCCCGACGGGCTCGTAGAACGACCAGAGCCTCAACTGCAGAATATATCCTCACTGAGGGATTGGCTTATCCAAATAGAGATACCACGCTGGCATAAAGAATCGTTTCGGGGAACTTGATCACATCGCCTGTTGAAGAGGCGGCGGCGACAAAGATGACGTCGGCTCCGAAGATTGCCCCACAAATAGTTCCCGGTCCGGAGGACCCACCCGGAGAGGGCTCCGGGGCCGCGCACCACCTCCACTGTCAAGCGACGTGCCGACCGACCCCGCATCCCGGCAAGGCGTTCGCCGCTGCAGCCTGGACATTGCTAAAGCATGTCGTTCGTGCCGATCGGCGAAAATGCGTGACTCACTTCGGCGTTGTCCTTTTTGGGGCTCGGTGCCTGTCGCAGGCGTTTGCTCCCCGGCTAGGCCGCGCGGATATGCCTGGTCCGTGTGTCTGTGCGGTCGGTTTCAAGACGGGGCCTGGCCAGGTGCGGGTTTCGTACGCGAAATCTTTGGTGGCTTTGCAGCTCGTGCTTTGCCCCATTTTGCCGGCGAACTTGTCAGGAAGCGTTGCTTGGGCCAGATTTCGTCCACGAAGCACACCCACAAGAATAGACATCACACGTGTTCCAGGGCTGCCAGATATAGAAGAACTTTATTCAGAATATGTTGGAGGCAATCATACATGGCGTATGCCGTCTCTATTTCTCTTTAAATTCTCTTACGCTGCACTCGACGAAATGTTGCGCGACCCTGGCAGCATCTCCCATTGACAATACTGAAGTGATTCGAAGCGCGAAACGATGAAGACCAGCCTCGGCCTCGTCTTATACATTCTTTGCGCCGCGGCTTCAGTCGTAAGCGCAAACGTGATCACGAGGGATAAGCCACCTGATCATGATGAGTGGTCGTACAACGGAGTGAGTGGTGCAGCAATATCCCTGGACATGTCTCGGCGTTGCTGACGGACTGGTACCAATTCAGACCTGCGACGAAAAGTCGAATACCTGCACGTTCAGGAAAACGTGCCCAGGCGGCCGAAACTGGTGCCGCCAGAAGGGCGATAAGTGGGAAAAGTACTACTTTGATGCGAAACCGTACACGATGCCTTGCTTCGAAGGCGTGAAAGAGAGGGTACGAGAGAGAGCACACGCATCTTACCCCAATGGCCGTCCATCACGGCCGGTTGGGGATGCAGGGTTACAGGTTGCAATTGAGCTGACAGATATTATCAGTGCCACAGGACGGGCAATTATTGTAACGGCCGCGGAGAGAAGTATGCGCAGACCTGCACCTAGACGGGCGAGTATGTCTGTTTGGAAGGAGCCTTGCCAAACCTACTCATGGGGTCTTGACATACCTGCAAGAGCCATGGTTTTTCCGGACGCTCTTATGTCGAGTATGGACCAAAGTAGGGATGAACAGGGCATGGAGCTGGTGTGGGCGATGGCAAGAGTGGTCAATCATTCTTTGCGCTCTGCCTTGCTTTGAGTCACACACTTTGATGCATCAACTGGAGTCAACCATGTATTCACTTATAATTTTACTTACAAAGTCCGCCCTTGATTATGACCGGCTGCAGACCCCCATTGATCCCTACAAGTCGCCCCCCTCCAGCCGTGTGGGCGAAGGACTCGGCTCCCAGCAAGCGCTTACATGCGCCCAGGGTGCCCTTGGGGGCCTTCTGCCTGGCTTCTGCCTGCGGTTGAGGAGTCCTAGGCATCCCTGCCCCCAATGAGAGGGGGATTCTGCGCCTAATTCGGGAACGGGATCCGATATGTCTGGCGCCTGGCGCGCGGCCCATGCTGGGTGCAGGCTTGCATCCGTTTGCCTTGGCATATGTCTATAAAAGAGAGTGCCGCCCCTCGTTTCACATTCATCTCTCATCAACACAAGTTCTTCACCATCTGGGACATAAACAAGTGCCAAAAAGGGGACCATAAAGTACACTATACTTCCTCGTCTCTAAGCCATGGCACGAGGCAAGTTGCAAGGCCGGCGGGTTGTCCGTCCCGAAGACCTCTACTCGGATCCCCCCGATGAGGAGGAGCAGCAGGAGATGAACGCCCTGCTCACCGAGGAAGACAAGCGCCGGCGCGAAGAGCTCGAAAAGGCCCCCATGCGCGCCGAGCTGAAGCACCTCGAGAAGCGCTGGACCAAAAAGGGCCGTGGGTACATCACCGAGCCCCGCGACGATGAGGAGCTGCCCGACGAGTCGTTCAACTGGTACGACAAATTTGCCCTGTGCGTCACGCGTCGCTACGATCGTGCGAACAAGTATGTCGAGAGCACCTCGCTGCAGGTCAACTCGCCGGTCCTGAAGAAGATGCTGCGCAACATCATCGGTCACTACCCTGGCGTGTCGTTCCACACCAACGACATCTCGATCCCATTCCCGCCCCGGTGCCTCTATCACTATCGCCCTGAGTTCAAGGCCGAGCTGGAGAGGCTCGTGGCCGAGGACCCTGATTCGGATGAGGCGAGGCACCTGCCGATTCTGATCGACTTCATCAACGAAGAGTTTCGCGACACAATTACGGAGGGGGACAACCTCCGCGACCAGGGGCTCATGTCGTATGAGCATCTGTGGACAATCTTCAAGCCCGGCGTCTTGGTATACAGCACCAAGCTCTCGCAGCCGCGAGGGTTCGAGCTCCTGTCTGCTGACTACGTCGGCGGCACCTGCCCCGGATTCCAGCTTTCCGTCGAGTTTGTGGACTTTGACGGAGACGAGTTCGGCACGCGCCAAGCCAACCTCAAGATCCCACCGTTTGGCGGGTCAGCTCCAATTCGAGGGCTTAACGCTATACCCCTGAAGTGCAGCCCCAACGAGGCCGTCATCAGGAAGCGCCTCATCGAACGCGGACGCCGATGGGAGGCCCACGCCGGCCAGCACTTCCGCCACTACCGCGGCATCGCCCTCGATGTTCAGGGAAATCGGTACAATGTTGATTCGAGGGTCATGATCGATGCTCGCACGTTCCACCGTCTCGAGGCCGACTACGCCTTTAGCGTATCATCGTTGAGTGACGGAAACAATGACTGGTCAGACGACGAGGCAGAGCTGATCCCGACGGAGAACAAGGACTCGTTCCCAGCTCTGACGGACGAGCAATGCTTGATGGCGGCATCCCTGGTGCGCGGCTTCTCGATGACAGAGAAGAAGTTCCTTGACTTCTTCATCGATAACGTCTCGGATATCGAGTGGAACACAAAGTGCTTTGAGCAACTCGTCTTACCCCAGAGCCAGAAGGATCTTGTTCAAGCGCTGGTGGACGAGCATACCAAGCGCGCGATCGATCCCAACTCCGCGTTTGAAGACATCGTCAAGGGCAAGTCCCGTGGCCTAATCCTGGTGCTGCACGGACCTCCCGGCGTGGGCAAGACCCTGACTGCCGAGTGCGTGGCCGAATTCAGCAAGCGGCCGCTGTACATTGTCTCATCGGGCGACCTGGACACAAACCCATCGGTGCTGGACGAGCGGCTTGGCCGGACACTTGACCTGGCGAGCACATGGAAGGCGGTGCTGCTCATCGACGAGGCCGACGTGTTCCTGGAGCGGCGCTCGCTGCACGACCTGCAGCGCAACGGGCTAGTCAGCATCTTCCTGCGCACGCTCGAGTACTACTCGGGGATCCTGTTCATGACGACGAATCGCGTGCGCACCTTTGACGACGCCTTCAAGTCGCGAATCCACGTCCCGCTCAAGTATGGGGAGCTGCCGGCCGAGTCACGGGCCAAGATCTGGCGCAACTTCCTGAGTGGAGTGGGAGGCACCAACTGCAGCGCCAACGGCCAAGATGGCGCGTCCGTTTACGACTCCATCGGCGACTCGGGGATCGCGGCGTTGGCCGAGGCGCCCCTCAACGGGCGGCAGATCAAGAACGTGGTGAGGACTGCCAAGAGCCTGGCCTCGCACAAGAGGCGCAAGCTGGACTTGGACCAGCTCCAACAGGTCATGGAGATCCAGATGGCCTTCGAGCGTGACCTAGACGGGGAGGGGGACGTCGACGTCGTGGATCGTCCCTGAGAAGCGCGCTGGTCGCCTTCGTGTCCGAGAGGGCAATGCTCGAGCCCATGATCACCTGCAGCTCGGGCAATTGGCAAGGCGAGAAGTGAGCGGTATTGCATGTTGGCCCGGCGATCTCTTGCTGCGCCCAGGCTCTTTGACCGACCGTTGCTACGCAGATCGGGTAGCCGGCGTGGAGACGTTGGGAGCACAGTTCGCCGTGCGGCCAGCATAGACACCAAGGACCTGCAGCTCTAAACGAATCCAGAAGTTCTGTACATGGAGCGTTGCAGTGCGAACAGTCGGCCCGGACCAAGTCTCGCGTCAGGAACATGATCGAGGTGCAATTAGTTACAGTACAGTACAGAAATGGGAGGAATCGAATAGATATGGATGCTTCTTTCGGTATAGTTCTGTATGTACTATACAGTACAGTAGTGTTGAAATGTTCGATATGTGGACGGCGATCTGTACATGACATACGGCCCGAGGGCGACGGCCCGAACGTAGAGCTGTATGCATTCGGATTATCGGCCTTCTATACTCTTAAACCCGTCAAACTCCTTCAACCTTGTGCGTTGGACTCGACATATATAAAGGCTACATTGAAGGGTTGCCAACCGTTCACTCCCCTGCTTCCACTCAACACCCGATCCATCGACTCCAGTCAGTGTTGACTCTTGTATATAAACACCGTCAATCCGCTGCCCGCTCTCTAGCTGAAGCCTCATCAACCGTCGCAATGAAGTCCTTTGTCGCCGTCACCACCTTCGCCGCCGTGGCGCTCGCCACCACACCTACTACCGCGGAGAACTGCGCCATGCACTGCAACTTGGCCATGGACGGCTGCGTAGCGACTGGCTCGCCCATCTCCGTCTGCACTGACGTGTACATCGAGTGCCTCGGCTACAACCCCTACGACGAGGTGCCCTTCACGAAGCCCACCAAGTGCCACCTGGTCGGTTCCCCTGAATTCTGCGCCGACAGGTGCAACTCGTCCATGGACGGGTGCGTCGCCGCCGGCAAAGCCATCAAGGACTGCACCGAGACTTACGTCAAGTGCCTCGGCTACAACCCTTACGATGAGACGCCGTTCACGAAGCCCAAGGCTTGCCGCGCCTCGCACGTCCGCCGTGACGCTTGCGCCGATCGGTGCAACACGGCCATGGACAAGTGCGTCGCGGGCGGCAACGCCATCAAGGGCTGCACCGAGACCTACGAGAAGTGCCTCGGCTACAACCCTTATGATGAGGTGCCGTTCAAGAAGCCCACGACTTGCCGCAAGGAGCACCTTCCTCGTGACGCGTGCGCCCGCAGGTGCAACTCGGCCATGGACAAGTGTGTCGCCGGCGGCAATGCCATCAAGGACTGCACTGAGACTTATGAGAAGTGCCTCGGCTACAACCCCTACGACGAGGTTCCCTTCAAGAAGCCCACTTCTTGCCGCAAGTAAACGGATGCCGAGCGAGTCGAGGTGGTGGTGGTAGGGCAGGGTGAGACGGTGGTTGGCTGCGAACTGGGCGATTGGAAGATGTCGAGCAAAAAATGCAAAGGCAGAAGAGAGCCCGAGACCGATATCGAGATGATCAACCAGCGACTACCATTGGCTGCCGAGTGTGGACGGATCGCGGCTGGCACGATGAGGCAGGAGAGTGGTTAGGTTGAGTTACAAGCAAGCTCGCTAAAGCCAATGACAATAACTAGCTGTCGTCGCCAGTATGATTTATTCCACATTTCGGGAAGTAAATGGTTGCGCATTTTCGTCAACGGGTGGATGCGGGAGCCTCGTAGTTGTTCATCGGGTGGTTTGATGTCGATTGGCAGGCGCACTCGACAGGTGCTGTGCCCCTGGCCAAGCGCCACCACCCACGCCTGCCCGCGTCCGCTACAGCTCACTGTTCAGTCTCACCAAAAAGTTCGTGTCAACCACCGCCATCCATCCCTCATCACCGCAAACTTTCACGTCTCCCAGCACGCCGAGCTCAACCACCAACCATGGCCGCCAGCACTTTCGAGACGCAGGGCGTGCGGGTTGCCGTCGAGGGTTGTGTAAGTTTCACTGTCCCGGCCGACGATTTGTAGTGGCATGCGACTGACCGACAACCTCCAGGGCCACGGCACTCTCCACGCCATCTACGACTCCGTTGCACGGTCATGCAAGGAACGCGGCTGGGATGGCGTCGACCTGCTCATCATTGGAGGTGACTTTCAGGTATGTCGGCTTTTGCGCGCGCGCGTACACATTCATCCTTGACCCAGGCATGTGCTGACCACAGACCAGTCCGTTCGCAATGCCTCAGACTTGACGGCCATGTCGGTGCCCGTCAAGTACCGCCACCTAGGCGACTTTCCCGAGTACTATTCTGGGGCGCGGACTGCTCCCTACCTCACCATCTTCATCGCTGGTAACCACGAGGCAAGCTCGCATCTTTGGGAGCTGTACTATGGCGGCTGGGTCGCTCCCAACATCTACTATCTCGGCGCCGCCAATGTCCTGCGGTTTGGCCCACTTCGGATCGCCGGAATGTCTGGCATCTGGAAAGGGCATGACTACCGCAAGCCGCATCACGAGCGGCTTCCCTTCAATTCGGACGATGTCAAGTCTTTCTATCACGTCCGCGAGGTTGACGTCCGCAAGCTGCTGCTGATCCAAACTCAAGTCGACGTTGGTCTGAGCCATGACTGGCCGCGGGCCATCGAAAAGCATGGCGATTCGGAGCGCTTGTTCAAGAAGAAGCCAGACTTTCGAGCTGAGTCGAGAGACGGAACTCTGGGCAGCGTCGCAGCAGAGTACGTCATGGACAGACTTCGCCCGCCATACTGGTTTTCTGCCCATCTGCATGTCAAGTTTGCCGCCTTGAAAAAGTACGACGGCGCGGACAATGCTGTCGACCCTGCGACGAACGGCAAGGAAACTCCGCCTCCCGTGCAGCAAGATGCCGAGCCCAATCCCGATGAGATTGACTTGGACATGGACGATGATGACACTGGAGCTAGCGAACGCAATGGCAAACAAGGCCATACGGACGCCAGTCAGGAGGAAACCAACCGGGTGTCTGATGAGCTACGAGCTCAGCTACCCGCGTCCTTTGCTCCTCCTCCACCACAGGTACCGAGACAAACGCCAGGTCAGCCAGTTCCTCCTGGCATTGCCAACAAGGAGGTTCGATTCTTGGCCTTGGACAAGTGCCTCCCCAAACGGCAGTACCTCCAACTGTGCGAGCTTGTCCCGTACGACCGAGAGGCGTTGTCGCTTCATCCTCCTAAAGACTCGTCACCTCGCTATCGGCTCCAGTATGACCCAGAGTGGCTCTCTATTACGCGAGTATTCCACTCATCCCTTTCAATTGGCGATCGAAATGCCCAAGTGGCCGAAAATCTGGGAGAAGACAAGTATCTGCCCTCGATCGAGAAAGAGCGGGAATGGGTCGAAGAAAATGTCGTCAAGCCAGCCAAGTTGGACGTGCCGGAAAATTTTGAGTTGACAGCACCGCCTCATGTTCCCGGAAGTCCTGAGATTGTCCAGGAGCAGCCAGAAGAATACACAAACCCCCAAACCGCGGCGTTCTGCAACCTTCTCGGAGTCGAGAATCTATGGGACGCCACGACAGAGGAAAGAACGGAGCGGAAGGAACGAGGCCCACCGCCATCTGCTTTCCGCGGAGGCCATCGTGGTGGCTTCGGCGGTGGAAGAGGTGGTAGGGGTGGTAGGGGTGGTAGAGGCGGACGCGGAGGTGGTCGGGGAAGAGGGCGCGGTAACCGGGGAAGGTTTTAGCGCTCCTCTTACTTCAGGACCAGGTGCAGAGGCACATGTTTCGTCCTACGGCATGGCACTCTGCTTGCGAAAATGAGGACCCGGGAGTAAATGCACGCTCTGGAGAGGAAGAAGTGGGAGTCGGGAGATGTTTGGGGGCCGGCGACAGCATAGGGTAGGGTTCTATTTGGCGTTTGAACTTTGAACCCTCCAAAGATGGGCTTCTACCGGATTCAACTTACAACGATGCGTAATTTGTTACATGGCCAGGCGGCACAACTCATATAATTCCAATTCTCTAGTTGCGATCGGCCTTGAGGGTGAAGTAGACGTGATGTAGGGCATCCCGCGTTCAGCTGCGAGCACCCCTGTCTGACAATGTGTCGACATGACCCGTCGCCAACGGCTGAACAACGCAGCACGCTAGACACTGACAAACAATTCTCGCACATCGCCGGCAACGCGCAGAGTGCAGAAGCAATGACCGACCCATTGCCCTACGTGTATGAGCCCCTGCCGAGCACCTCGCACATCCGGCTGCTGAGGCGCGAAGCGACCGGGCCTGATGGGACGCTGCGCTTCTCGCTCACAACGCGGCGCGTTGCCGACGCAAAGGGCCCCGATTACCACTGCCTGTCATACACATGGGGTAACCCGTTCGCCCACGGACGGTACTTTAGCGAGCACTTCGAGTCGGTGGCGCCGCAGTACGAGCCGGAGAGCACGGTGGCCATTGAGCTGGATGGGCGAGAGCTGCGCATCCAGCGCAACCTGCACGACGCGCTGAGGGAGGTGCCGCGGTCGGCATACGTGGACTATCTCGACAGGCCGCTGGCGGGGAAGGGCGGCAGGACGTATCTCCATGACATCGCGGAGGGAGGCAGCGCCGAGCTGGTAGAGGGATGGCTGTGGAATGGAGCGGCCGTGGGTAGCCTCGACGATAGGGGCAGGGCGGCGCTGCACTATGCGGCGGAGAAGGGGCACGCGGCAATCGTGGAGATGCTCTGCAAGGCGGGCTCGGTTCGTGCTCGGATGGACAAGAACGAGAAGAGCGCCTTGGATCTGGCGAGGGACGGAGGTCACGGCGATGTGGTTGTTCTACTCGAGGGCTACATCGGACAGCCGGATCCTCTGCCTCTCGAGTCACAGTCTCCAAGGAACCCTGACCCAGCCGACAGGTTGATATGGGCCGACGCAATCTGCATTAATCAAGCCGACATTGACGAGAAGAGCGCCCAAGTCAGCATGATGGACCGCATCTACTCCAACGCCGCCTACGCAGTCGCCTGGCTGGGACCACCGGACGAGCGCTCGTCGCTCGGGCTACAGACCCTGAGCACCCTCACAGAGCACCTCGAAGGCTTCAGGGCCAGCCGGATAGAGCCCTTTGGCGGCTACGACAAGGCCAACTACGCGGACGCGGGTGTGCCCTTCATCCCCTGGGCGGAGTGGGCGGCGTTGGCGGGCATTTACCAGCGGCAGTGGTTCCGGCGGGCGTGGATCGTGCAGGAGGCCATCCTGCCTCCCATCCTGCTCATGTACCTCGGCGACACGTACATCTCGTGGTACGACCTGGGCAACGTGGCGGACGCGCTGCGGCACAGCAAGGCCAAGCTGGGCGCGAGCGGCTCGACGGCCTTTGTGCCGCTGCACGACGCCGCCGTGGCCGTCGAGTGGAACATGGGCGAGGTGCACAAGTATAGGACTAACAGGAACATGGCCCTGCGGCGGGACGTCGACGCCGCAGAGGTGCGCGCGTCGAGGTCACTGTTTGTGCTGCGCGAGCTCGTCTTCAACTTCTGGACGTTTCTCGCGTCGGACCCAAGGGACAAGGTCTTTGCGTTCTACGGCGTCATCAATGCGTTTGCGGATCGCCGGCTGATGACCGACTACCGTCGTTCGCTGGTTGATGTTTACACGGCTACGACGAGGCAGTTGATACTGGACGCGGGCAACTTGTCGGCGCTGTCTGCGTGCGTCTATCCGGTCCAGAGGCGCGACGATCTGCCCAGCTGGGTGCTGGACTTTAGCCTTCCTGGCATCAACGGGGTGCCGGAAATCTTTTCCGCTGACAAGGGGCTGGAATACCAGACGCCGAGAGAGGATGCCTTCGACAGCCCGGTTCTTGGTGTGCGAGGCCAGAGGATCGGGAGCATCTCGCTGGCGGCGGGACGCCCGAATATTGGACCCTCTGGAAAGCTACAGTTTGACCCGTCATGGCTGAGGCTGCTGCTTTCTATCCGAGGCCAGAACGGCTACGGCGAGCAGCCTGTCCTGTCCGAGATCCTCTGGCGGACGCTGTGCATGGACATGTCCTCCGGGAGCCTGTTCGACTCCAAGGTCTACGGGGCGCGGGCGCCCGACGAGTTCGGCAATCAGTTCCGGATGTTCATGCTCCTCATGGTCCTAGCGGGCGCGGACCGCATGGTCCTAGACAAAGTCGGCGTCGAGCCCAGCATAAAGCACACCTTCACCGTTAGCGAGCTCCCCTACGACCCCATGAAGGCGGACATGGAGGCGACACTGGCGGATCTCGATGCCGTTGCCGCGCAGGATGGGGAGCTCAACTACCTGCCGAGCCGCGAGGAGGTGCTGTACTTTTGGGACAAGCTCGAGTGCACCATGGTGCGCAACACGGCCGTGGACGCCGACGGCGGGCCCAACGACTTTTACGTGCCGCCCGAGGTGCGGGCCGGCCGGAGCCGCATCGTCGGCTGCGGGTATGTGGTCCGCGGGTCGCGCATGTTCCAGCGCTGCGAGGGCTTTGCCAGCGCGTACAGCAGCGTGTACGGCGGGCGGCAGCTCGTGACCGTCGACGGCGCGTACCTGGGCATGGCGGCGTTGTCGGCCGCGCAGGGGGACGAGGTCTGGGTGCTGCCTGGCTTGACGGCGCCGGCGGTGCTGAGGCTGGTGGCACCGGGGAATGGGACCGCGCCGCGGTATCACTTTGTGGGCGCGTGCTATGTTCACGGGTTGATGCATGGCGAGGTGGCTGCCAGCGGGCGGTCTGAATTGGTGGACATAGATTTGGTGTGAGCCTGGCTGCCTTTTGGGGATTCGCCGTGATGAAATTGTCTAGATTTAGCACTGTCGATGGGCCGTCAATTAACCAAGGCATATAACACTAAGCGATGTGGTTGGTGGTGACAGATAAGAATAGAGAAACGGATGACTTGAGATGTTTTATCGTGGTGTTTCAAGTGGTGGCGACAATAATACGTGGGACACGCTGAGTTGGCGGGGCGGAGACCTGGCACTGCAGGCACTGGGGCAGGCGCCACCTGCCCGCCCCTAGCAACCACACCAATGAGGAAATACCGTAAACAAGCAGCAGCTGGCAGCACCCAAGGCGCTACGCTACCCCTGCATCATCATCATCGCCGCCCTGCAACCGCAACTTACGCTTCATCACCACCGCCATCATCCATTACCAGCACATTTCTGCGACCTCGAACTCTCGTCTGCATTGCCGTGGCGCGCCGACCCATACGACCTGCAGAACACGCTCCGAGGACCGACGTCCCTGCCGTCGCGCAGGTATGTGCCTGGCGCCCATCGCCCGCGGTCCCTCGCCATTGCTGTCATTGCCCCGCTAACCACTGGAATGTCGCAGGCCCCCGACATCACGACCCTTCGTCGGCGCTGCCCAACGTCGCCGCCATGGCTCAGTTTCTCACCACAGTGTTAGTCCTCTCCCATCCTCCCAATACCCAAGATCAATCCTGCAAAAGCAAACACCATGGCCGCCGCTGTCGCCGCAGCCGCGTTTCGCTACCTGAGCCCCAAGTCGGTCGTGACCATGTCGCGCATCGACAACACCATCATCCCAGTCCACGAGGATCGTTCGGCCGGCCGGCCGCTCTCCGACTCTTCTATAGGCACGATTGCTAACGTCCAGCCCCTGACCGACTGCAGTAACCAACGGACTAAGAATCAGTTCCGGCCGCGCGTCGGCAAGGGTGGCGCGACGAGCTACCAGCTGCGACAGTATGCCGAGGTCACATTGGGAGGCGGCAGCTTGAGAAAGGTTGTCAAGCTGCCCGAGGGCGAGGATGAGAACGAGTGGCTCGCCGTCAACAGTAAGCTAGGAGCCCGCGCATGACATGCAACAGCTCGCTGATGCCTCTGCAGTGGTCGACTTCTACAACCAAATCAACCTGCTCTACGGCGCCATTACTGAATTTTGCTCTCCGCAATCATGTCCCGAGATGAAGGCGACGGACGAGTACGAATATCCGCGCCGCTCCATATTGAGAAAGCAGCTGACGAGTGCAGGTTCGAGTATCTGTGGCAAGACAGCGAAAACTACAAGAAGCCGACCAAGATGCCCGCCCCGGCGTACATCGAACAGCTCATGACGTGGGTGCAAGCCAACATTGACAACGAGTCAGTGCTGCCAAGCAAGATTGGTTCGTTAAACCCCTAGCCATATTTGGCTGACGACCACCATGCTGACCACAATCCAGGTGTACCGTTCCCCAAGTCATTCCCGGCGCTGGTCCGCCAAATCTTCAAGCGCATGTACCGGGTCTACGCACACATCTACTGCCACCACTACCCCGTCATTCGCGAGCTTGGTCTTGAGCCGCACCTCAACACAAGCTTCAAGCAGTACGTGCTCTTCATCGACGAGCACGGCCTCGCCAGTGGACGCGACTACTGGGGCCCGCTGGGTGATCTCGTGGACAGCATGTTGCGGAGCGACTGAGCCGGAGAGGCACCTCTCATCAAGGAACGCATGACTTTGTATAAATAGTTTTGGGAGCTCCGGCGTTGTGGCTTTCGAACATGATGACGGATATTAATGCTTGCAGAGTTGGCAGACACAATAGAGTCAGGGTTTCACTTTCCCACTTGGTGTGTCGAGCCTTTTGCTGCCGATCGGGATGATGTCAAATTTCATCTGCCGATGTCGAAATGATGGGCCAATGGCTCGAGTGCGCTTCGCCGCCGGCCTCGGGATATGCGTAGTGTGACCGCGGCCAACGGCGAAGAAAACACAACCCGGTTCACCACGGGCAAATTAACCCGTTGAGTAGGCACTGTAGCCGTGCAACCGGGCGGTGGTGGAGGTTTTGGTGGTGGCAGCGGGAGCTTGGCGTGGTTGTTGCCTTATGTAATAAAAGTTGGTGCCTCACAGCCGGCAAGGCATCAACTTCCAAAATTGCCGACCGCGAGAACCTCAACCGCCAGCTCCACGACTTGCCTCACCCACGTCGAACGCTCTCCTCCACCACCCAATTCCGCCTCCCACGCCCACCATGTTCTCCCGACAAGCCCTCCGTGCCGTCCGGGCCACCGCCCCCCAGCGTGCCCTCGCCCTGCGCGCCGCCCCCGTCCGGGCCTTTGCCGCCGCCGCCGGCACCGAGGGCCAGCCCCCGATCACCGTCTTCGGCCTCGATGGCACCTACGCCTCTGCCCTGGTACGCGACGGACCTCCCTCCCTCTCTCGCTCGGGATAAGCGCGGCGGACGGCCCCGTGGCCAATTGATGCGGTGGCCGCCCGCTGGGACTTACTGCGATGGGCATTGGAAAGTGAAGGGACATGGAAACTAACGGTTGCGCCAATTTACAGTACACGGCCGCCTCCAAGTCTTCGTCGCTCGACCCCACGGCCAAGGCGCTCGCCAACCTCGGCGCCATCGTCGAGAAGGACACCAAGCTCTCGCAGATCCTCGCCGCCCCGACGCTGACCCCCGAGGACAAGTCGGCCATAGTCGCCGAGCTCAACAAGCACGCCGGCGGCAGCTCCGCGACGGTCAAGAACTTCCTCGACACCCTCGCCGAGAACAACCGCCTGGGCCTCCTCCAGGGCGTCTGCTCCAAGTTTGGCCAGATCATGGCCGCCGCCCGCGGCGAGGTCGAGATGACTGTCACCAGCGCTCAGGTACGGACACGCGAGCCCGCCGCCGTCTTCCTCTTTCGAGCGGTGACGCATCATGGACGACGAACATGACGCAGAGAGCTAACGGATTGAATTTAGGCCCTTGACAGCAAGACTCTGTCCCGCCTCGAGACCGCCGTCGCCAAGTCCTCCTACGTCGGCCAGGGCAAGAAGCTCAAGGTCACCAACCAGGTACGCGACCAGTCCCACCCGGGAACTCCCGGCATTCCCCCTCCAGTCACAAACTTGGCAACATCGCCAAGTATTTTCAGGACAAAACTTCTAACACTTGTTTTCAGGTCAACCCCGACATCGTTGGTGGACTCGTCGTCGAGGTCGGTGACCGCACCATCGACCTCAGCGTCTCTTCCCGCATCGCCAAGATGAACAAGCTCCTGACGGACACCCTGTAAATGTACCAACTAAGACCTCAACTGCATGACCACCTTAACAACAAACCATTTTCCTTTTTGCGTCAAGCCCTCCCTCAACTTTGATGTCGTGGCGGTCCCTCGTTTCGGGGCCCGAGCAAGAAGCAGAGCGGAGGGGGGCAACGGTTCGGGTGCCCTCGGCGGTGGCCGGACGGTGTCGGCGCGGGTGGCTTGGGAGGCTGCCCGGCCGTGTAGAAGGCTGTTGATAGTGATGTCGAAATAGAAAGCATTGTCTAGCCTTTCTGAATGTCTAGGACGAACCTGCTCCCAGTGTGCGGCGCGCCTACGAGCGGACAGCCATGTCCTCCAGGTGCAGTCTGAATGGTGTAGAATGATATGTGTCAAGTCTATCTATATGTATCCGTTTTGATTAAGCTGCCCCCAATCCGTATGCTCCCAGTCCAATCGCGTCCCATCCAACGCCAGACCACCACTGTCCGCTACCTTCAATACCTGGCGTGCTTTATCCGCCAACGGTGCCAAGAGACAAGAGACCTGGCGCACTTTAGGCCTGGGTTTCGAACTCGTCCTCGTGCTCAAAGTCGCCGTTTTGGGTCTTGTACCGTGACAGCTGATCCGCAATGTAATGATGCATATGCTCGTCGGCCTCGGCCTTTTCCTTTGACCTGGTATCGTCGTAGACGGCCGAGTCACCGTCGTCGTCCGCGCCGTTGACAGACGTGTCAAAGTCACTGCGAGCACCGATGGAGCGGGCTATGGAGGACCGGCGGACGTGCCGCAGGCCACTGGAGCGGGGGGTTCCGCTGTCGATGGTGCGCTGGAACATGTCATCAAAGTAGTGCGCCATGGCGACAGACGGCGTGCGGGGCGTTTGCGGCAAACGGCAGTTGACACTGCGCCAGCTGTTAGCAATTTGGTCAAAAAGCAGGGCTATTCCTCGCAAAACTTACCCAGTATCGTGGATCATCCGCGCAATCAAGCCTGTCCATCCACACTGATGGGACGCGCCCAGGCCGCGACCCGAGTCGCCGTCAAAGAACTCGTAGAACCAGAGATAGTCTTTCCAGTGTTCATCAAAGTCGAGGCGATCGTCTCCATGGTTGACGCTGCGTCTGCCGTCGTCCGTCCGCGCGAAGAGGTGCTGGAGACGGTGCTGAATCTCCTCAGAGACCTTGCCCAGATGCATGTAGTCGCCACTGCCCGTAGGGCATTCGACCTGGAGTTCCGGGCCGTAGAAGAGGAAGAATCTCTGCAGAGATTCGACGAGAAGGAAGTTGACGCACAACCAAATCGGCCCCCTCCAGTTGCTGTTGCCACCGAAGAGACCGGTGTCGGAATCCCCCGGCACGTATCCGACCCGGAACTGCTGCCCGTTGACATCCATAGAGTACGGGTGTTCCTTGTGATACTTTGACATCGAGCGGATACCGTGATCGCTGAAGAACTCATCCTCGTCCAGCATACGCTTGAGAATCTTCTCCAAGCGATCTCTGCTGACGATTGAGAGCAGGATGCGGTCGCCCTTGCCCCTCTTCCTGATACTGGCCATGTTTCTCTCAGCCAGGTCGACACGGTTGTGCACGAACCAGTCGACCCTCTTCTTGAATGACGGAAGCTTGTTCAACAGCTCCGGCTCCAGCGTGGTCGTAGCATAAAGAGGAATAAGACCAACCAGCGACCGGACAGGGAGCTGCTCGATCCACGGGCCACCCCAAGAGATGGCATCGTAGTAGAAACCATCTTCCTCGTTCCAGAGGGACTTCTCGTCCTTGCCCGCCCGGAATGTCATGGCATCGCTGATGAAGATGAAGTGCTCGAAAAACTTGGAGGCAATATCCTCGTAGATGCGGCGGTGCTTGGCCAGCTCGAGGGCAATGTTGAGCATGGACAGGCAGAAGAAAGCCATCCACCCAGTGCTGTCCGCCTGCTCCAAGACACCACCGGTGGGCAAGGGCTCCGATCGGTTGAAGAGGCCAATGTTATCGAGGCCGAGGAAACCACCCTCAAACACGTTTTTGCCATCGGCGTCCTTTCGATTTACCCACCAGGTGAAGTTGAGCAGCAGCTTTTGGAAGACACGCTCGAGGAAGTCGAGGTCCTGTCGTCCATACATTTTCCGCTCAATTTTGAAGACTCTGAAGGTGGCCCAGGCGTGAACAGGCGGGTTCACATCGCCAAAGTTCCACTCGTATCTAGGTAGCTGTGAGCACGAGTGGCCGCTAGACTTCAAGGGGAGACTCACGCTGGGAGCTGGCCGTTCGGATGGCAGTACCACTCCCTCGTAAACAAGTCGAGCTGTTTCTTGGCAAAGTCGGGGTCGAGCATGGCGAGCGGGATACAATGGAACGCGCTGTCCCACGCAGCAAAGAACGGATACTCCCAAGAGTCCGGCATCGATAGGATGTCGTCACAGTACATGTGTTTCCATTGCGAGTTGCGCACCCCGATTCGATCCGGTGGAGGCGGGGGCATCGACGGGTCGCCGTTGGCCCACTGGTCCCAGACAAAGTGATAATGCTGCTTTGTCCACATCATGCCTGAGAAGGCCTGCCTTTGGATGTTCCGCAGGTCGTCTGTCATAGGCATGGGGCTGATTCTGTAGTAGAATTCGTCGGCCTCTTCTCTGCGCTTCTCGATGATGTCGTCGAATTCTTCTTCGTCCAAGAAGGTCATGTCCTTCTTCGTGAATCGAAAACGGACCACTGCGCTTGTCAGCCGGGCTCTCGTATGTCTTGTGCTACGTTGAGAGCAAGTTCGTACCTGCGCACTCTCCAGGATCAACACCCCCGTCCTCATTGAAGTTGAACCACGCAGCACACTTTGTGCCGGTCTGAGCGGGGTTGACGGCCGCCTTCTCTCCATCCACAATGTATCGATGGAAGGCATCCTTGACGTAGGGCTGCTTGTTCTCCTGGTCGTACAAAGCCTTGAAGTTTGTGTCGTTCTCGGTGTACATCAGCTTGGGCAATACATCATCTCCGCTTGAGCCCACTCCGGGTGATGGTGACAGCAGAAAAAAGCGATCGCCGAGGCTGTGATGCTTTGACTTGGCGGCAATCTCCGTATGCGTCGCAATCGAAGGTTTTCTATCCTCTGGTTCCCTACCCCAGCTCCAAGTGTTTCGAAACCAGACTTGCGGGATAATGTGAAGCGGCGCGGGGTCCGGGCCTCTGTTCCACGCCGTGACACGGAAAAGGAGCTCGTCGGGATCGTCCGACTCTTTGGCCGTTTCGATGAAGATGTCCCAATACCTATCCTCGTCGAACACTCCAGTATCGATGATCTGGTATTCCTTATCCTCTCTCGACCGGCGAGCATTTTCTTTGAGCAAATCTTCGTAAGGAAATTTCTTCTGCGGGTACTTGTATAAGAACTTCATGTAGGAGTGCTGTTACGCAGATTAGCCGTTGTCGCAGCGATCGGTGTCATCGGAACGGGATCGTACCGTCTGTGGAACGAAGCAGGTTAGCATACCGACACATTGCCGTTGAACAAGAAACTTCATTGGGACTAACCGGTGTGTTGTCAAGGTGAAAGTGGGCTTCCTTGACGCTCTCGCCATGGTTGCCTTGGGGGTTGGACAAGCCAAAGAGGCGCTCCTTCAGAAAGTCGCTGTGACGGGTTAGGCACGAAAGCTCTTCGATATTATCAGAGGGATTATTTTTCGTACTCTTCCTCATTCCAGAAGCTGAACCCGATGTTTTGCAGGCCATGCGTGTCGGAGACGCCGGCGATGCCGTCCTCGCCCCATCTGAAAGCACGGGACCGAGCGTGGTCGTGCGGGAAGTCTGGGAGCAGAAGTCAATGGATATGGTCGAACGAAACGGATTCGAATGTCAGCATACGGCTCCAGGCGTCTCCATCAGCGCTGTAGTCCTCTCTCACTGTCGGCATGTCAGCTATATGCCTCATGGCAGAGCGTGCCGTGATAGCTCCGGTCAGCGGAAGCGGGTGGTTACCTGTTGCCCACTGGCGTTCGGCGACGTATGGACCCCATTTCTTCCAGTACTTTGTGCGCTCGCGATCCTGTTTGAGGCGCTTCTCCTCCTCGGTGAGGTACTCGTGGCCGTCAAAGACCACCATGGCGGCGGCGCGTGCAAAGGCGGTGCGCGGGACGCTCGATGCACGGAAGCTCTGGAGACACGAGGCAGCGAGCTTGAAGTAAAGGAGACAGCACAAGGAAGCCTGGCAGAGTTGCCACACAAAGACCCGACGCGAACGGGAGTGCTTCGAGCGGTGCTGCGGAGGCAATTGATTTGCGAACGCTGAGTTTTATGGTGTTGGCGGTCTCGTCATGACATCGACGATGGAGTTGGCGACTAGCTGCACTGGCACTGCGTCGCAGGCGTGGGGCAAGCTGCCGCTGATACGGGCGGCGGGGGATTCTGGCTATTTGCTTTGCTTTGGGCGAGCTGTTTTTCGCTGACTACGGGCTGACCGGCCAGTGAGCACTGACAGGGCGGCATGGGCTGCTGTTGGTGGCGGTTGCCGCATGTGCCAGTGCCAGTTTTATGCTGGCGGCGGGCGGAAGGCCGCCCAGTCAGGCCTGGCCTGGGCTTGTTCCTGCCTCCGCTGAGGTGGTCCGTCGTGTGCCACAGGTACGATAAGCTTTTTGTTACGGCAGCGCCGTCTGCCAAGTTTCTCCGGTCGCGCTTTTCCTCCATGCCATGCGACTGCTGAAAGGCTCGGACTCGGAGTGGTGCTTTCGGCGTCGCATCTCCCTTGCTCTACCTCGCCTTGCAAAGCTGGTGGAACAAAGTCGCGATGTTTTGCTGCCGGGAACTCGGAAACTCAGGTTAGAGTTTCAACGTGCTCGGGAATTTAAACGAGAACTGCTCCCACGAATCGCAGTGGGCGGAGGAGCCGGCGCGGTCGGAGACTTGATGCGGCACAGAAGCTACGGAGCCCCGGGAAGCCCAGTCCGGCAAAACAATTGTTGCTGACGACAAAGGCCGTGTTGCGCATTGGATCCGTGCAGGGGTCGGGAGTCGGGACGAGCACTTGCAGAGCATGTGGGTTTCTTCTGCACGCGGCAGATGTTTGTCCGTCCAACCGCCCGCCGAGCCGCATTGCATCGGTAGCGAGCCAGCTTTGCGCTCGGGTGTGAGGGCAACGAGGGTACCGGGAATCCATACACGCATCGGAATGCACTCGGCCGGCGGGACGGTGTGGAAGCTGAGCTTTGCGTTCTGCATGGAACCATTCGCGGTGTCCACCTGCGCATGAGGAGCATATCCATCTTCGGAAGATTCCTCGACTATCCCGCCTGCGACTAAATTTAGATGAATGCGCCTTGGGCGCAGCTGGCAGAGCTGCCGCGAGACAGTCGGCTCGCCTTTATAAGGCCCAAGTTCGGAACTCGGCCGCTTCACACTCACAGGGCACCACAGATGCCGGACACGAATCGTACGTGATGAGCATGACGTACGCCTGTGCGCACGCTATGCAGCAGCATGTTTCGTCGAGAGGAGAGATCACCGGTCATCACCCAATCTTCGGCGCCGCGTGGCAATGCGCCTCAATGAGTGCCACAGATCTGAGCCACGGCGGGCGGAGACGCGCTGTCACGGCCACACTTGGCAGCCGCAACGGCGCAGTCGTGGGCGAGTCGAGTGAAACGCGGACGGCCAACGTCGCCTTCCGGTATGTTTTGACATCCTAAGTACGTTTAAAAAAAAAAAAAAAAAAGGTGCGCCCCCAAGGACCGCTCGCAGCATCTTGACACTCGCCAAGTGAAAGCCTCGGCCTTTTTCATGAGACACGACTGGCAAACGGCTCCCACAATTCACCAACAGGCAGGGCACTCGCAACTGAAAGGCCATCCCGTCCATAAATCGCCAGCCACAGAGGCCTTCTGACCAAAACGCTCAGGTGGCCCAGCGCCCGCCCCGGCAAGGCGTCCAATTGCAGCCGGCGAGCACCGCCCCCAGCCCTTTTCAGGCAACCCACCCCCCTGCAACCACCCATCCCTGGACGCCCGTCATCCTTCAGCGCCAAGGGGCCACCTTGCCCCTAACAAGCTCTGCGGGAGACCCGTCTACTCCCGTCTCGTCAGCTGGAGCCAAAACTTCCCATCCATCTGGCCACCACCTCTCGACACCTCCCAAGGCACCGCCAACACTGCCCCGGGCTGTCGTGGCCCTTCCTGCTCGGTCCTCCCCCCTCTCGCCGCGTACATCGCCCCTTTGCCGCCGCCCTCATCATATTTGCGACCATGCTGCGTAAAAGCGACGCTTCCCTCGCCTGCTGATCCCAAGACCCGTCGCGCTCCTCTCCTATCCCGAACGCAGCCTCGGCCTTCCGTTTTCTCCAATCGACGCCCTGCCCTGGTCGCCCATCATGTCCAGCTCTGTATCTTTACTACGCCGCCTGATCCTCGAGTCGCCGCCGGGAGAATGGGCTCTGAATCAGCTTCGCAGCCTGCTCATTGGCGCTCTGAGGCAGGGGCCTATTCCTCAACATGTCGCATTCGAGATGGACGGCAACCGGCGCTACGCCCGGTCGCATCGAATGGAGACTGTCGAGGGCCATCACCGTGGCTTTGAGGCGCTCGCCCGGGTGAGTACTCTTCGAGTCTGTGCTGGAGTCCGGGACTCAGAGACCTAATCCACTCCCTAGATCATGGAAATCTGCTATCGGTGCGGCGTCAAGGTCGTCACCGTCTACGCCTTCAGCGTCGAGAACTACAACCGGCCCAAGCACGAAGTCGAGGGGCTTATGCAGCTGGCCAAGGTCAAGCTGGAGCAGCTGACCACCTACGGAGACATCCTCGACCGCTACGGCGCGTGCGTCCGCGTCCTCGGCCAGCGAGAGATGATACGGGAAGATGTCCTGCAGGTTGTCGACAAGGCCGTGGCAAGGACGAAGCACAATAACAAGTGAGCCAAGCCTGCGACGCGAAGCCTCTTTAGTCATGGCTAACATTTATCCAGGGCCGTCCTCAATATCTGCTTCCCGTACACATCAAGAGCCGAAATCACGACCGCGATCAAGTCGACGGTCCAAGAGTTCCTGGCCCCGCCGCCGCCCAAGAACACGCCGTTCTCCCCGTCACGCATAAGGCAGAAGATTCTGTCCTCGCAGCTCGACGGACGGGACCCGTTGCCCACGATTCAGGATGATTCGCCGGACGATTCAACGGCCCGGGAAGGCGATGAGCCAGATAAGGAAGTCGAGGTCGACATGGACGGCGGGGACTCGTCCTCGGCAACGCTGCCACCTGACTCGCCCAAGTCACGCCTGTGGTCAGGAGAGGGATCGTACAATGCGCCCAACCTGCCCAATCCCGAGAGCATCACGGTGGAGACGCTCGAGAAGCACATGTACACCTCGCAGGACCCGCCCTTGGAGCTGTTCGTCAGGACCAGCGGCGTTGAGCGGCTTAGTGACTTTATGCTGTGGCAATGCCACCAGGATACGCATCTCTTTTTCTTGCAATGCTACTGGCCCGACTTCGACCTGCAGCATTTCATCTGGGTCATGCTGGAGTGGCAGTGGAGGCAAAAGCAAAAGGAGCGGGACGATAATGCGGAGCGGGCGAGGAACGGCAAGGCACGACGGCTGGTGGAATAGACGTCGCATCGATACCCAACGGTTCTTTTCAGCGGCGGTACATGTCCTAGAAAGGAGCATGATGTTGGCAACGCGGTTGATGCTGTGCAAGGGGGCAGCATGGGAGAGAGGTTTCATAGCGTCGTTTCGTCTTGTCTCTGCGCGTCCGGTTTGGCGCCGCGGGTGTTCAATTACATGAAGCCATACATCGATGGACTGTAGCAACTTACGTGCCTTCTCTGCAAAGTCAATTGTGTATGCGCATGGACTGGCGGGCCGCCGCCGAACCGCCGTGCTGGTTGCGCTCTCAGGTCGGCATCACAGGGGGCATGTCTCTCGTGCCCATGATGACGACATGCTGGCACGCTTTGTCGGCCAATACAGCTCGTCGGAGCCGGCAGCCCAGTCTTGCCCCGAACAGCCAATCAGGCAATGAAAGTGCAGTGCAGTGCAGTGCAGTGCAGTGCATCTCGCGAACCAGAGCGCGACGACGCACCTAACGTGCGCCCAAGGCACGGTGGCCGACTCGCCCATCGCGGCGAAATCCATGGATGGTCAGGCTACCCAGGTTGCAAGGCTGCTTCCTGGTGCGGGCTGATAAGATAAGGAAACAGCTGAGCGGGCGCGCCACTGCAGCTGGAGGCCGAACCCGTCGCAAGTCGCAATGGGGTGGGCCGTCTCTCAGCCTGGCATTCACCCACAGGGCCTGGAGGCCCCACAATTTCCTGCCCCGGGGCACCTGAGGCTAGCGGCGCAGGCCTGTGGCCCAGGTGCCAAATTCGAATGGAAGAACTGGCTGGGGCGGCGGCGGCATCTGATCTGCATCTCTCGTCGTTCCGGCTCGGTCGTCCTCCTCCACCAGCACCATCAGCAGCACCACCACCGCTGCTACCCACGCCAGGTGCACCACCGCTTCCTCCCTGTTTCTTTCTTTTCACCCCTCCTGGTCACGCTGCCTCCCACCCCTTCGTGATCCCTCCGATCGGGCGCTGAGCCCTTGCAAGAATGGACTAGACTATCCTCAATCTCAGGGCCTGCTTCTGCGTTATTCTTTTTTGAATCAACATCTTCGCCTTTCCCTCCATCTCGCAAAACCCCCGCCACACGCGCAGAGAGACCGACCGAGGAACCCTGGATCAGGCTTCGACGACGAGAAACACGAAGCCTCGCCTGCGAACCCTCGCGACGAGCTCGAGCAATCAGCCCGACACCCTCACAACCCCTCCCTCCCACTGCGTCGCGAGCACCGCGCTGCCCGACACGATGAAGTCGGCCAGGCCGTCCCTCGTGGACGCCCCAGCGCATCGCAGAGCCCAGCCCGTCCGACAAGCGCGCACCAACCCATCGCGTGGCCCAGCTCATGCTGGCCGTCACGGCGCCGGCGGCAGAGACGGCCATTCAGGTCCCGCGGGCGACCAGCCCATCGACATCTTCCCGGCAATAACGCACTTCGCCGACACCATCACTGCCCTCCCCAAGGAGCTCGTCCGACATTTTACACTGCTTAAGGAGGTCGACGCCAAGCTCTTTGGCCCGGAAGACCAGCTCTTCAAGCTCGTCGAGCAGGCTGCGAATGCTCCCGCACCGGAGCCACGACCCAGCAATGACGCCACTGGTGTCGGCGCGTCCTCTTCGGCGCCCATGAGCACACAGAACAGCTCCAGCGGCTTCGGCCCAGGCCGTGCCGTTCGCTCGGCTCCCCCGTCTGACGAGCCCAACACGACCGCTCCGAGCAGCGTCTTCGATCCCTCCAATATTCCTCGCCGCCAGCTCTTCCGACAGACGGCTTTCAAAATCCAGGAGATGCTGGTGTCGCTCGAGGAGAAAAACCACGTCATATCGACTGCCAATGAGGCCCTCAACCGCCAGCTCGCGCGCATCGAGGACGTGTGGCCCTACCTCGAGAGCGAGTTCAGCGACGAGGCGAAATGGGGCAGCACCACACACTGGGCCTACCCAGAGAACAGAAACGGCAAGGCTGCTCACGCCGAGCGCGCACGTCGCGACGGCGCCGCTGCCATTTCTGCTGCCGCCCAAGCCCTCGCCGAGGAAGCTGCGGCTAGAAGCGATGCGAGGAAACAGGCCGTTCAGGCGAAGCGAAACCAGAGAAATCAGCACCACGACTCGGACGCCGACGACCTCGCCGGCCGGCACAAGGGAGAAGGTGGCAAGAAGGCCCAGAGCAGCAAGTCTAGAAAAACTGCAGAGGCCAACGTCGGTCTGGGCATCACTGGAGCGACTGCGAATGGAAACCCGCCGCCAAAGCGCCGCAAGGTGGAAAAGACTACGAACGGCGGAGAGCCCATGGAACGCGCCATGAGCAGCGTCTTTGGAAACGCCGCGCCCAAGACTAAGACGAGCAGCCCGCGAGGGACACCGGCGCCAGACGGGCCCAAGAAGCGCAAGGCCCTCCCCACCGGCAGCGGCCAGGCCAAGAAGAAGCAAGTGCCCTCCAAGTTATTCGCGTCCACACGCGCTGGTATACTAACAAGAATTACTATTCAGGAATGGCATGTCTCCCTCGGTCACGTCCTCACCTGTTATGGGTAACCTCCCCGAGCCGAAGACACAGGCGCGCGCATCGCCTATACCTAGCAGCGCTCCCCGGCCGGCGTCGTCGCGTGCGCGGCAGAACTCTATACAATCCAACGCGGATCCGAATGGCAGAGCGAGAGCGCTGTCGTCAGCATCCACCAAGCCTAACGGCAAGGAGCCCAGTACTCCAGACATGTCCTCGATGGGCGTTTTCCCACGCCCCACGAATGAACCCAAACCCGTCAAGGAGACCATCGTCCCCCTGAAGCCGGAGACGATCAAGAAGGAGGCAGACCGACCAGAGAGTAGCTCTAGGCCGCCATCCACCGTGGGAAAGAAGGACAGCAAAGACGAAACGGACAACAAGAGCGAGTCCGTGCCGCCACAGCCGCAGACCACGGTAACGGTGACGACAAAGAGCGGTAGGGCGAGCAAACCGTCGACTCCGGCGCTGGCGACCTTTCAGGAGGCAGCACGGCCGCGATCGTCTAGGAACACGGACAACGGAGGGGCGAGCAAGAAGAGCCATAAGAAGGGTGGTTCCGTGGCGCAGGCCATCGCACCCCAGGTCGTTGAGTCGGATGCGAACAGCAGCAGCCTGCAGGGCGACGATGACGATGATAACGACATCGATGCAGACGAGCCGACGTACTGCTACTGCAACAGCGTTAGCTACGGCGAGATGGTGGCGTGCGACGCCGACGAATGTGAGCGCGAGTGGTTCCATCTGGCGTGTGTTGGCCTCAAGGTCGCGCCGGGCTCTAAGAGTAAGTTATAACCCCTGTTTCAACAATCGGCGCCCTTCGAGCCACGTCGGTCCGCTGACCCGGGGTAATCTACAGCGAAATGGTACTGCGAGGACTGCAAGAAGCGCCTTAAGATGGGAGACAAGAAGGCCAGCAGCCGATAGACGAGGAGCGGCCGCAGCTATTAAGGTGGCTTATGCCGGGATCGGGGCACAACCCATCGACTTGATCCGGCGCGCAAAGCAGACCCTCGCTCGGTATGGCAGTGGCAGCGATGAGCCACATTCATGATGCCGGCGACTACACCAAGCAGTCGCATTGCTCGAGCACTTGGTCAGGGACAACACCCATCCAAATTTGGGGACATAAAGGGTTCGACTACGAACAGCACTACAGCGAAACCTGGACACCATGCATTGTACATCACAGGGAGCCTCTTGAGAATTGAGGAGTTGTTTCTTTCACTTCGAGCACGTTTGCCCCTCCTTGTTCATTTCTGTCTCTTTTGTTTCGCGGACCCTGTTGGAGTTTACGGATATCCGGAGCTGAGGACGTTGTTGCTCTAGCTACGCCGAGTGGACGTGGGGCAACTGGCCCGTCTGTCCAAGGCCTGCGATGGGAGCTGGAGGCGGGCAACGGACGCCGCCTTGTCAGGACAGGGGTTGAGCCTGATCACCCAGGAGGGAACCCAATAAGTTGGCATTTGTCGTGGCCACGAGCCATAGAGGCAGAATACTGTACTGTTGACCGGGAATTGATGAATCGGTTGGTGTGATGAATAACTGCTTCGCTTCACCGTACGTAGAGCCCCATCCGGGCTGGCTGTTTCGGTCCGCGGCCCTCGGAAGGACGCAATTGTAGGATTCCCGTGCGGACCGTCACTCAATTACCATTATGTAAAGCGGCCGCTGACTTGATGAGGTGGGCACAGCTCCCCACGTCTGTTGTTGGGGGTTTGCTAGCGGTGGCATCGTGAGCGGCCAGTCCAGAACGCAGGCAGTCCCCTTTGTTCTCCAGTCCACGATGAACAGATGACCGCTTCGTAAGCAGGATGGTACGAGTAGTCATACGGAGAACCAGCGAGCTTCGGTCGAGGATGCCGCTCTGGCTCATGCAAAGGACACGACAGCCCCCAACAGTCAACAGTCACCCGCGATGCAGAGTTGCGTCCCATGCTTTCACGCGCGTTCCCAACGGGGAAGGCGGACGGCCAACCCCGGACCGGTGGCCTGGGGCACGCGCACGCGCGGGGGGGCAAGCAAGGCCCTGCTCGGCAAGCCACAGGAGCTAGCCCCCCCCCCGGCTGGGCTGTTGGTTCCTCCTCCCCCACGGCCGCCGCCGCCGCCGCCGCGAAATCCGGGGTGGTAGGTTGTTGAGCGCAGGGCCGAGAAGTGCCTGGAACCAAAGGCGGCGACTGTTGCTCCTGCCCCTGGACAGAATAGTAGACGGTTTCGGGTGTTGGCGGGAGAGCACGGTGTACGTGCATACTTCGTACAAAGACATGCAACACCACCTTTGTACGCACGGTATGCCGTCTCGTGTTGCGCAGGTGGCGGACTGATGAGCATGCAAGATGAGCGAGCAACGCACAGCAGGAAGCAGGCAGCGGGCGTGCATGATGACGTTACTCGGTGTGCACAGCAAGGCGCTGGTCTTGTACGCTGCCTCGGCAGTGTCATCCGTGGGCGAGACCTGGCAGCCGGAGAGACGTCGTCGCACCGCCGACGTCCCGTCCCTCCCGTAGCGAGCGAGAGCCGTGAATATACAGTATGTATGTATGTATGTACGATTCGTGCCGTACTAGGCAGGCGAGAACGACTTCACGCACAACGAGGAGGAGAAGGGGGGCCAACCCAATACGAGCCACGCAGACGCCCCAAACGCTGCCGTGTTTGAACAGACGGGGGAGTCGAGTCGGCACCCCGATCTCGTACGGTCCTTGCAAAAGGGGCGGGTGGCCCGAGGGGAGAGAGGACACAGCACATGGCAGATGAGACGATGGCGGGCGACGAAACGAAAACGACGGGCGAAGGCGACGACGATGGTGCCAACTCATCAACAAGAAAGGTGGTCTCGTGACCATTGCCTGACGTCGGAGCGAAGGGATTGGAGGGAGCTGTCACGGGGTGTCGTCGCGGCCTGGCCTGGCCTGGCCTGGTCGGCTGAGGCGGCTTCTTTCCTTTCTTTGTGCTCTCCAGCTCTCTCTCGTTCTCCCACCGTGCGGCGCTGCTGCTCTGTGCTCGTACTGCTGCTGCTGCTGCTGCCGTGACCGGACGGACAAGTGCGACGACGATATATTGAATGAGACCCCGTGGGGCAGCGTCTGTCCAACAAGAGTCCCTGCATTGGCAAAGACTTGCGGTGAGACGGACGACGGCGGCCCAGTGTCGTCGACGAAGTGCATGCCATTTCGGTACAGTACAGGGACAGTGAAAGTGAACAGTTTCATGGGTCCTGTCCCTGGCCTTCCGTTTAGAGTACCAAAGGTTCCAGGTGCCTTAGGTAATTTGTGGTTTCTCTCTTCTCCACTATCTTCTAGCGTCCAAAGAACCAACATCCATGCCTCATCAGCAACCCTAGCCTGGGGGGAGCAAAAAAAGGCGGCTGGCTTCGGTTCATGGCCGCCCGAGACGAGGACTGGCTGGACGTCGGAGGAGCCCGTCGCGGCCGCTACGTTAGCCTTGGGTTAGCGCGCGCGGGCGCGGCGAGGCGAGGCGAGGCGAGGGGAGAGAGAACGACGACTCTCGACTCCATCGCCCGTCGCCATCTCCACTGTTCTTCGGCCGTCGCTCGCTCGCCCGCCCGTGTGGATGCTCGCTCATGCGCTCGCAGTATTACAGTACTTCGTGCGTGCGTAGGGAAACCCGGGAGTTGCGGGCGGGCGGGTAAGCGGAATGAACGGCTCATGTCGCCCTGGTTGCACGGCGGCAGCGCCATCGAGGAACAAGGACGACGGAGCAAACCAGCGTCCATCCCGTGGGGTCCTCGCCCGGATCACCGGCTCGGTCGTGCGACGAGGGCTCCGACCGTACATACAGGCCAAAAAAAAAGCAAGAGGCTCGTACTCCGTACCCAAGGGCTCGGAGCCCCGGACGGGGCCCTCCCGCTCTGGAGTCTTGCTCTGGGGGTCTGGACATGGCTCGGCGTCTTCGGTGATGCGCTCGGCGCAAGTCGCACGGGCACTACGAGTAAGTACAGCAATTTACCAACAGTAGAGGACAGATATGTATGGACGAGGACATGGAGACAGTCGAGGATGAATGGGGCCACCACGGCTGCCCTGGCCGCGCTCGTAAGTTTGCCTCGCCGCATGAATCCCATCTCGGCCCATTGAACGTTGGGCTGCCGCTCCGGCTACCGGAGCCCTCCTAGAGCGATGTCGCAGACCTTGCGGCTCTGTCTCGCTGCCAGGACCGCGATGCAACGTACGACGCTGCGGCCGGGGGGGCAAAGGCTCTTGGCAGGTCATGGGGGCCGACAGCAGGGCTGTGCACGGAGTGCGAGGCGGCCCAGCACATCTCGTACATGCCCAGCATTTCGTGCGCTCGTAACAACAGACCACGCGTTTGCGCGAGGGAGGTAGGTACCGAACAGGTTGGGGAGTGCGGTGAGTGACTACGGCGCGGGGGGGCGCAGGAGCCAGACTCCCGACGCCATGTCGCGGGACGCTCGTTTGTTGCGACGACAGTGCGCGAAGGTGGATGGCGCGGGCGGGCGGGAGAGGAGAGACGGGCGAGCGAGCCAGGAAGTTTGCTGGCTGGCTGGCCGGCTTGCTGGCTGGCCGCAACTAACAAAAGTCGACGACTCGATTCGACGCCGACTCGACGACCTGAGCTCGAGGTGCGGGGAGCGCGAAGGGACGGAGGTGAAGACCCTTGCCCGAGTTGGAATTTCCATTACCACATCCTTACGCGCGCCTCGTTGGATGGCAGCACGCGGCGCCGCTCAAGCTGAAGGGGGCAAGCCCCGGCGCGGAGTTTGCGGACGGGAGCGCCTTGCTGTTTGGGCGGCGGGCCTCGTTCCCCGGGTGTGCGTGGCGCCCGTCCGGCGACTGGGACGGTGGACGGTGGACGGTGTACTGGGGACTGGCATCAAGCAGACGTAATGGCGGCCAGTGTGGCTGATGAAGAAGGGCAAAGTGGTGTGTGTCGGCTCGCCGGCAGCAGCCAGCAACAGAGGAGGAGCTCTTCTCGGGGTGCGGTTGGCACACAAGGGATGGCATGGGGGGTCCTGCGTGTGTGCGCGCCGGGAAAGCTCTCCGCGCAAAGGTGAACTGACTGATGACTGATGTGACGCGATGTCGTTGGAATCTTGTGCAACCGGGAGCGCTGGCGATGACGACGTTTGTCTGCGCCCGACGCGGGCACGCCGGCACGCCTCAGATCCCGTCGCTGTAAACCAACCCCCTTGGGGGCCGGGCAGCCGATGACGCCGCAGTGCTGCTCCCTCACCCTGGACGGCCGGGAGCTCCAGGGCCATGGATGGGTGACTCCGGGGAGGCTGCCCTGGGCCTGCGCCTAAGGTAGCTCCCTGTCCTGCAGTTGGTTGCAGCGGGCGGGCGGGCAGCCTGGGCGGCGGTGCGATTTCCATCGATTCCAGGGCTGCCGGCGGCGGGACCGGGGGGGGAGCCAACAACGAACCACGGCGCGGCACCTCACCGCACCTCATGCGAGCATGCGAATCCCGTCGCCCAACAAAGGCGATGCGGAATAGGCAACCGGGGACGAGGCAACACGGGCGAGGTCAGGCAAGGCACTGTAGGTACCGACCTAGGCATGTACCATCGATGCTTCGGTATGGAGCATGGACGGAGTACAAACCTGTAGTGTTACTGTATGTGCCAGTGCTAAGACGCGGCACCACGCAAGGTACCACGATAGGCGAGGTGTGCCCGTCCTCCACCCGCCGACGCCGCGCCTCGCCTCGTTGCAGAGTTGCATGTCTGGAGAAGCGAGAGGCGGCGCCATCCCAGTGGTGGCAGCACTGTACGTACTGCAGTCCTACGCGGTAATGGTAGGAGACGTTGCCGCCTCGTGCGAAGGCAGCTACTGTTGTAGGTTTGAGGGGTCCGCAACTCTGGCGACGCGCATCCGGCGACCTGGTCCAGTACGGGGTAACGGAGTCATACAGTGCGGTGCAGTGCAGCGCTGCGCTGCACAGCGACGTCAAGCAAAATAAGCGTCAGGTGTGTCTCGCCTTTTCTCTCGTCCGTGGAAATAAGCTGCCCGCCCTGGCAAACCCAAAGCGCAGGTCTCAGAAAAAATGGCCGTCGGCGAGGTGCTCAGGTGACCGCCGCTTGGAGCGCGCGCTGGGTTTCCATTACCAAATCTTGCCAGGTTCGGCGCTACCATGCCGCGCTAAAAGCCAAAGGTGCGGTGCCAGGCCAGCACGTTTTGCGCCCGGGGGTGGGAGCCATGGAGGGGTGCCCCCCTGGTCGCCACCACCTAGGAAGGGCCCTGTCTCTTATACACATCTAGATGTGTATAAGAGCTCCCTGCTGCCGTGTGCTGTCTGGCAGCGGCATCCGCACCGGTGGCGTGTGTGGATCCCTGTCGCGCGCCCGCATGCATTGGCTTCCAGTTCCCACCACGGACCCAGAATACGATGGACGGATGACTTATAACCCAAATTCTCGGCCAACGACTAGAGTTACCACCACCACGAACCAAAAACCTGAACCTGACCTGACCTGACCTGACTTGTCCTGGCCTGACTGGATTTATTTTATTTCCTTCCCACACACACTCACGTCGACAGCCAGACTCTTCCTCTTCACCCTGTCTCTTATACACATCTAGATGTGTATAAGAGACAGGTCCTGGCCTGACTGGATTTATTTTATTTCCTTCCCACACACACTCACGTCGACAGCCAGACTCTTCCTCTTCACCATCGTCACTGCTGCCGAAACCACCGCGACTGACTCTTCCGCCCTCGAATCGCCACCCGCCTTCTCGTCTCGGACGCCTCTCCTCGTCCGCGCGGAAACCGCCTTGACAGAACTGCCCGAGCCGCTCGCGACGACACCCCACCGCGGCCCCAGCACGCCTCTTCTTCAAGCGGCAGACGCGCCTACAACAAACACCTAGACCTTTTCCTCGAGCCCGCCCCTTGCTCTTACATGGCCGTGCCCAACGGAGCCGGGCCCCGACGGGTGCTTGACTTCGACACGTCCATGATGATCAAGTCCAGCATGGCACGGGCTCTTTCTCCTTCCGACACCGGTTCACGATCTTCGTTCTCCTCGGTCCGCGAGAACGACGATGGCCTCGCCCAGACCTTCACCCGCTCCAAGGTCTCCTCCTACATCGACGCCCCCGAGGACGTCTTTGACGAGTCGCCCACCAGCGAGATCGCCCAGCCCATCTTCCAGCCGCCCCTGACCCAGCCGCAGAGCAAACTCCATGGCTTCTGGTACCCCTCGGACAGCTTCAAGGGCTGGAAGCAGATCCCCATCAAGGGCAAGACGGCGAGCCGCAGCTCCGAGGACCTGAGGAAGCTGTGCATGACCTGGGACAATGTCCCCGAGGTGACCCCCACGAAGCAGGCCGACAGCGAGCTGCCAGGCGAGTCCGCTCTCGAGCGGCTTCCCAGCGAAGTTTTGAGTACGTAAACAAACAATTCTTGCTCTGTACTTTCAAGTTTCGTGGATCTCGGAGCTAACCGTTCTACAGCCGTCATCATCGACTACTTGGTCGTGGAGATCCCCCCGAATGGCCTCACCACGCGCAACACCGATCTCATGTCTCTTCTCTTGACCTCGCGCGCCATGCATGCCGCCACTCTCACCACGCTCTACCGGCACATCACCATCCCGCACTCGCGCATCTTCCGCAAGTTCCTCGCCACCATCAACAAGTACCCCGCGCTCGCCACCATTGTGAGGCGCATGGACTTTAGCCACTTCAACCCGTCCTTCATGTTCTCCACGGCCAGCGAGCGTGCCAAGGCCCGCAACCTCACCGCCGAGACGCTGGTTCAGTGCCTGGAGCTCATGCCCTTCCTCCAGGAATTCCTCGCTCAGGAGTACATTGACGACGACCTTGGCCCCGACGTTCTCCGGAAGCTGCTGTTTGACATGCCTCAGCTCCGAGCCCTGGATATCTGCGGCTGCTCGTCAACGGCATTCAAGAACTCGTTCAAGGCCATTCTTGATGATCCTTGGCCGGACATGCTCCCCATTAAGAGGCTGTCCCTGCACAAGTGCATCAGCCTGCCACCTGCCGTGTTCGAGAAGCTTCTCCCACGCCTGGGGCACCTCACACACCTTGACGTCGCTGGGACGCACATCACGGACGAGGCGCTGCAGATGATCCCCGCCACGGCCAAGCTGACGCACCTGAACCTTGCCAAGTGCAAGGACCTCTCGGCAGAGGTCGTCATCAAGTTCATCTCGACTCATCCCGCTGCATCGAATCTGGTCTTCCTCAGCCTCGCTGCTGACGCTACCAACCATCTTCTGCTCGGCAAGGACGACGTGGACGCGCTCTTGCCTGTGCTGCCGCCGACTCTTCAGTCTCTCAGCTTGCGCGGCAGTCGGATGCACACCTCCCACGTACCCGAGCTGATCCGCCTCTCTCAGACGCTGGAGGAGCTCGCAGTGGGACGCGGGCTGGACATGAGCGACATCCATCGCATTTTCAAGCAGGATGACGCATTCCTCGAGCACAACCTCCGATATCTGGACATTTCCGAAATCGACACCATTATTGGAAGCGCTAGCACCCTTCTCGCGCCGGCGTGCGCCCCGCTCGGCGTCATTGAGATCGAGGAGCGCGCCTATGAGCGCGCCGCAAAGCTCAACAAGAGCCTCGAAAAGGTAGGCTGGATGGCCAGCGAGTTCGGAAGCCGCTACTGGCTGGTGCGAAAGCCGGCGCCCGGCACCGTCGCGGAGAACCCGCGTCGGAAGTGGAAGATGGGCGCCGAGAGCTGGGGTATGAGGAAGATCCCGGTTGCCGTCGCCGAGGTCGGAGGCATGTATGGGTCCTTTATGTTTGGCCGGCGGCTCTGATACCCCTCGCATCGCATCGCATCGCATGTGTTTTTGATGGTTATCGTTGATTGCATTGCACGACACGGACGACAAAGCGACACGACTCGGACAAAAGCAGCATCATCATCGGCGGCGCAACTCTCTGCTCATCTTTCTTCCTTGTTTTGTTTCTCATTGTCCGGAGTTTGGGGGGCTGGGAGATACCACCAAAACGCATTTGCTGAGTCGATACCTTGGCGGGCCTGAAAAAGGAAGACGAAAAGGGTCATTCTCGCGAATATGGTTTTGCAGACTGTGTATTGTTAATTGGGCAGCGTTAAGCATTCTATAGCGTTAAGCACGATGAAAACTATTCGAGCTCGTCTTGTCCGTGATGTTCTCAAACTTCTCACCGTGTGGCGATGCGCGGCGCAGAAATGCCAGATTGCCGTAGCGCAACATCCAATAAATCATGAAGCTCGGGCATCAGTCTGTAGACACGCCCTTTGTAATGATCAATTTCGCATTTTCTCGCAGTTGCGTATTCTTGGAGAGCTGCCCATGTCCGGCGTATGGATCACTAGCGGTGACGTCGTTCCACGACACGGGACCCATCACGTGACAGCGCCGGAAGAACGAACCGCCCGCGCGTCGAGCGGGTCAGCTCCTGCGCCGCCTCACCTGGGAGCCCGCAACCACACCTGGCTCGTTGACGAGCTCCAACTCAACCTTCCTGTCGACCGAGCCCTTGGCGCTTGAGCTGCATCGCCATGGCTCCCAACAAGGACACGCCGTTCCGCTCGGCGGACATGAGCATGGTGCAGCTGTACGTCTCCAACGAGATCGGTCGGGAGGTCGTCACTGCCCTGGGCGAGCTTGGCCTCTGTCAGTTCCGAGACGTGAGCAACCATGGCATTATCCCCCCTCGGCCTCGACGGCGACTGACAGAGATGCCCAGTTGAACGAGGATGTTAGCGCTTTCCAGCGAACGTATACACAGGAGATCCGACGCCTAGATAATGTCGAAAGACAGCTGCGTATGTCCGCACTCGGCAGCCGCCAAAGACCGCATTGCATAGCTGACCGGCTGCAGGATACTTCTATGCTCAAATGGAAAAGACCGGCATCCCCCTCCGAAAGCTCGATCTCGACAACGAAAGGCTCGCGTCCCCATCGACCTCGGAGATCGATGAGCTCGCCGAGCGAAGCCAGAAGCTCGAGCAACGGGTCTCGGACCTTAATGACAGTTACGAGACCCTCAAGAAGCGTGAGGGCGACCTCACCGAGTGGCGATGGGTTCTGCGCGAGGCAGGCAGCTTCTTCGACCGTGCTCACGGCAACGTCGACGAGATCCGGGCCTCGACTGACAACGACGATGCGCCCCTGCTGTCCGACATCGAGCAGCATCACCAGGCACCCGAGGTCGAGCGATCCTTCTCTGGTATGAACATTGGCTTCGTCGCGGGCGTTATTGCGCGGGACCGCGTTGCGGCTTTTGAGCGCATTCTCTGGCGTACACTGCGCGGCAACTTGTACATGAACCAGTCGGAGATCCCCGAGCCCCTGATCGACCCCACAAACAACGAGGCCGTCAACAAGAACGTCTTCGTCATCTTTGCCCACGGCAAGGAGATCCTCGCCAAGATCCGCAAGATCTCCGAGTCTATGGGTGCCGAGGTCTACAACGTCGACGAGAACAGCGATCTTCGCCGCGACCAGATCCACGAGGTCAATGGACGTCTGGATGACGTGCAGAACGTCCTGCGCAACACTCAGGCCACGCTCGAGGCTGAGCTCAACCAAATCTCGCAGTCGCTGTCGGCGTGGATGGTGCTCATTGCCAAGGAAAAGGCCGTCTACAGCACGCTCAACCTCTTTTCTTACGACAGAGCTCGCCGAACTTTGATTGCCGAGGCCTGGTGCCCGACAAACGACATGCCTCTCATCCGGTCTACGCTCCAGGACGTGACCAACCGCGCCGGCCTTTCTGTGCCATCCATCATCAACGAGATCCGAACCAACAAGACGCCGCCAACGTACCTCAAGACGAACAAGTTCACCGAGGGGTTCCAGACCATCGTCAACGCCTATGGTACTGCCACGTACCAGGAAGTCAACCCGGCCTTGCCCGTCTTCGTCACGTTCCCCTTCCTCTTCGCCGTCATGTTTGGCGACCTTGGCCACGCCCTGATCATGCTTTCGGCTGCGCTTGCCATGATCTACTGGGAGAAGCCGCTGAAGAAGGTGACGTTCGAACTCTTTGCCATGATTTACTACGGCAGATATATTGCTCTGGTCATGGCCGTCTTCTCCATCTTCACTGGTCTCATGTACAACGACATTTTCTCCAAGTCCATGACTCTCTTCCCGAGTGCTTGGTCGTACGTGAAGCCCGATGGCTGGAAGGAGGGCGACACGGTCAGTGGTGTGTTGAACACGGACGGCTACCGCTACCCCTTTGGTATCGACTGGGCATGGCACGGGACCGACAATGACCTCCTCTTCAGCAACAGTTACAAGATGAAGATGAGTATCATCCTGGGTTGGGCACACATGACCTATTCGCTCTGCTTCGCGTACATCAACGCGAGGCACTTCAAGAAGCCGATTGACATCTGGGGCAACTTTATTCCCGGCATGATCTTCTTCCAGTCCATCTTTGGGTACCTGGTCGTTTGTATTATTTACAAGTGGTCCGTCAAGTGGATTGATTTTGAGGATGGCACTAATAACGTTCAGCCGCCGGGGCTGCTCAACATGCTCATCTACATGTTCTTGCAACCTGGTACGCTGGACATGGAGCTGTATAAGGGACAGAAGGTTGTGCAGGTGATCCTGCTCCTGCTGGCCTTTGTTCAAGTGCCCATCCTCCTCTTCCTCAAGCCGTTTTACCTCCGCTGGGAACACAACCGTGCTCGCGCCAAAGGTTATCGTGGCATAGGTGAAACGTCTCGAGTTAGCGCCTTGGATGGTGACGAGGAGAACGAGGGCCTGGTCAATGGGCACGGAAACAGCTTCGACGACGATGGCGAAGGCGTGGCTATGATCTCCCAGAACATCGACGACGAGCACGAGGAGTTTGAGTTCAGCGAAGCCATGATCCACCAGGTCATTCACACGATTGGTAAGTCGAACGCCGCGCGTGGTTCACTTCACATGCTAACGGTGCCCAGAATTCTGCCTCAACTGTGTCTCGCACACTGCTTCCTACCTTCGTCTCTGGGCCTTGTCCCTTGCTCATCAGCAGCTCAGCGTCGTCCTTTGGAACATGACTCTTGGGCCTGCTCTGGCCAGGCCTGGCGTCGTGGGCGTCATCATGATCGTCGCGTGCTTCTACCTCTGGTTCTTCCTGAGTAAGGCCGACCCTGCTACCGTCGTATCTCATATCAGTATGCTGACCACGCCACAGCCATTGCCATTCTGGTGTGCATGGAGGGAACCAGTGCCATGTTGCACTCGCTGCGACTCGCGTGGGTCGAGTCATTCTCCAAGTTTGCAGAGTTCGGGGGGTGGCCTTTTGTGCCGTTCTCATTCAATGCACTGCTGGAAGAGTCGGAAGACCTGAAGGACTACTTGGGATGAGACGGTCATGACCATTAGGCCGTACTGCATTGTTTCCTTTCTTATCGTGTAGACCTAGCCTAGCTAGCTAGCCCCTTTGTATCATATCATACAAGCAAAGCATTCTAGACTTGTGCTGGTCCATAATGCACCTATTGACTGCTCTGTGACCATCTTGACTTGTAAATGCCTAGATGTAAGATGCCATTACGTCGGCGAGGCTTACGCCCAGAGCGGAGCCGTGACCTCGACGGCACGCTCCATGACCGCCCTGACGCGGTCGGCAAACACCTTGTTATTGCACTCAACCTCGAGGTCCTCGAGCCAGACGGTGGCCTCCATCTTGTCCACCTTGATGCGCACGCCCGGCACAGGAATGCCCAGCTTGTGCAGCCGCTGAATCTCCTTGCTGCGGCGCTGCTCCAGCTCCGAGTCGGCGTTGGTGTCTTCGTCCATGGCGTCAGCGTCCGCGACGTCTTCCTCCTCCTCCTTCTTAGCCGCCGGTTCATCCTTGACGCCGTCCTCCTGTTCCTCCTTTTTGGCGCCGTCCTCTCCGCTTTCCTTCTTGGTGCCGTCCGCGGTCGACGCCGCCGCCATGCGGTCCTCGGCCTTGACTGGCGCGGGCGCGGCCGGCAGCTTGGGGTCCTCGACGGGGGCGACGTTGTCGGCGCCAAACTGCGCCTCAAGGAACCAGAAGAGGCGCTCGAGGCGCTCGGCCGGGGAGCAGTTGGCGTGCGGGTTGTGCCCGTGGGGCGGGCCGCCGTTGCTAGTTGCTTCCTCGCCGTGCGAGTGCGAGTGTTTGCTGTTGGCGGCGGAGCGCTTCACGGCGGCGGGGGAGCTTTCGACGGAGAAGAGCACCGCCATGACGGAGTCGGCGATGCTGTCGTTGAACATGTTGCCCTCCCACTCGAGCTCAACCTCGCCGTTGGTGTGGTACCGGACGGTGATGCAGCCCATGACGAGGTACGCGGCGACGAGCGTGCTGCCGATTTCCTCGTCCGCCTCTTCTTGCTTGGCGGTCAGCGCGTCGTCGTCGGCAGCCGCGTCTGCGTTGTCCTCGCCAGCGTCAGCATCCGCCTTGGCGGTGACGGCCTTGTTGGCGCCGCGCATCTCGGGCAGCTCCTCGATGGCGCCAAACATGCCCTCGAGCGCCCAGCGGATGAGGTCTATGCCCGCGGCGCTGAGGCGCAGGCGCTGCTTGCACATGATGGTCGTGGTGGTGAGGCCGGCGTACTCGCGCAGGTCCTCGGGCGCCATGAGGGAGAGCTTGAAGTCGTTTTGGACGAGCACGCCCGTGATGAGAGGCGGGTCGGCCGGCGCAGCGGTGATGGCTGCCGCGTCGTCGGGCCCGGAGCCGGGAAGGAGTGACGGCGGCGGGACCGCGGCCAGCTTGCCGACGACCTTGGCCGTCTTGTCGCCCTTGAAGGGGATGCGTAGCTCCTCGCAGTTGCGCGGGGAGTAGACCTTGACTTTGGTCGTCTTGCTGGCGTTGAGGGAGAGGAGCTTGGACTTGAGGCGCATCATGTTGTGCTGCTCGCCGTGGACGAGGATCTATATACCGTTGAGTCAGTGGATGCCCCTGACGTAGACGATGCGTTTACGTGAAAGGGAAGGGGCCTATGAAAACGTACCACAACCGGCGCTGCAACTTCCTCAATAAACTCGCGGTTCTCAACGCCGTCGACGTGCGCGGCAAACGAGTACTCGGCGACGCTGCAGCGGCGGGGGATGAGCACCTTTTCGGAGTCGCCTCCGGGAGCCCTCCGGGCGCCCGCGATGCTGCGCGACATGATGGCCTGGATCTGATCGGGCTCCTGCATGACCTGCCTCGCCATGGTGCCCTCCACACTGTAGCCCGTGATGATGACGCCGTTCTTCTCGCTCGGGGCCCAGCGCTCAAAGAGCTCCCTGCTGACGCCGCTCTGCAGCATACCGGGGCTGGCAAGCATGACGCAGCCGCCCACGTCGTCGAAACGGTCGAGGTTCTTGAGCGAGCGGATGTACTTGAAGTCCCAGGGCCCGCCCTTGCCGGCGACGTCGCCCGCGGCCTCAGCCTCGGCCATGCGCTCGCGGAAGAGGCGCTTGATGTTGTCGTTCATGGCGCCGACGTACGTCTGGTACACGACCATGCACTTACGGGCGAGGTTGCTGGCGTAGTAGATGGGGTACTTTTGGAACTCCGGGTGCTTGCCCCAGTACTCGTCGAGGATGAGCAGCAGCTCCTGCGCGCGGCCGAGGGCGAACACGGGCAGAAGGGCGCGGCCGCCGCGGTTGAGGATGCTGGTGATGGTCTTCATGAGGGCCTGCTCGCGCTCCAGCCGCGGCACGTGGGACGCGATGCCGTACGTCGACTCGGTGATGAGGACGTCGATCTTGACGCCCTTGGGCACCTCGGCGGAGACGAGATGCCTGTCCTGCTCGCGCGAGTAGTCGCCCGTGAAGAAGATCCTGAGGCCGGCGATCTCGATGAGGAACATGGCCGCGCCGAGGACGTGGCCGGCCGGGTAGGGGGTGATGCGGATGGAGGAGATGGTGTGCGTCGTGTGGTAGTCGATGGCCTCGATCTGGGGGAACGTGTTGAGGTGGTCCTGCTCCGTGTAGACGGGCTGCGTCGTCGGGTTGGACGACGTGTTGCCCACGCGGACGCTGTCTTGGATGAGCCACTTGTAGATGGCCTTTGTCGGGTGCGTCATGAAGACGCGGCCCTTGAAGTTGGTCTTTGCAAGGACATATGGTAATGACGCCGCGTGGTCGACGTGGAAACTAGGGGCTCGTCGTCAGCGTTGGCGTCGAGGAAACGGTCTGGATAGCGACGGCGGGCGAGACGGGGAAACATGGTAACCAGGGCGGGACGGCATCACGAGCAGCAGCGCAAGAGCAGAGGACAGGAAACTTCTTGTATTGATCTGGCATAGAGGACGGATGCCCGTGGAGGCATGAAAGAGAGCGCTCTCGTAACCGAGGGCAGTGCATCGGCCGGGCCCAGGGCGTCCGTCCCATCACAAGATATACCATGCATCCCCGCCGTCGGGCCGCGAGTCACGGTTGGGTGTTTGTGTAGGCTGTAGACTTACTGGCTGATTAGGAGCACATCGACGGTACTGAGATCGAAGTCGTCATAGAAGGGCAGCGCGGCTAGACCGTCGTACGCCGGGTGTTGGCCGGCGTCGAGCTATGCACGGCAAAGCCTCCATGTCAGTAAAATGAACGCTGTGCAGATCGGGGTCACCGCCTGCCATGTAGACGGCAGAGAGGGCATCGCACCATGACCGTCTTGCCCTTGTATTGAATGATGTGACATGACCTGCCGACTTCGTTGCCGCCGCCGAGGCAGAGGAACATGAGCTCGTCTGAGGGATCGACGGGCTCCTCGGCGGAGGCCGCGTTCATGGCGGATGCCTTGCGCTTCGACGCCATGGTTGCTTGCGAGTTCGTTTGCGGCAATGGTTGGACAGGTCGCGATCAAGGGCGGCGCGAGGGTTGCTTGTTTGCTGCTGGTTAACGGTAATGGCTCCCGCGCTTGAACGATGTGTTTCGCGGCCACTGCGGATTGACGACGCGCGCGGGTGGGCGACGACTCAATACAGCGCCGAGCGCTGCATGCTACGATTGTTGCGTTCCGACAATAGCGATATTGAAGGGAACGGGTTGTGATTGTGTGAGAGCTGAAGTCCGTTTGTCGTTGCAGGCCCAGGCGCGACGAGGCTGGCCAAGGTCACACCGGATAAAGGCCGGACCCGCCGCCCATTGGCTGCTCCGGCTCTGAGAGCTCCGACTCACGTGACTTTAAATTTACGCAAACCCCCTCTAGCAGAGGCAGCTCCATCTTCCCTCCCGGTCAAGCAAACCTCCACCCTGCTCGACGACGCTCTCCTCCGCCGCCTGCCCGTGCCTGTCGCATCGCATCAGCATCGACGACCGACCCGGCGACGCTCACACAGATAACTGCATCGTTAACGCGTGTCTGACACGTCCCGCGCGCGTCGGATGGGCCGCGCGACCTTGATCGAGGCAGGCTCTGTTGCCTGCTAAGTTTGCGGTCGCTGGCCACCCTTCCTGCGCCTCTTCGCTCGCCCACGCCCATCTCGCCGCCGCGATAGCACCGCCCCGGCAGGTTCCCGGCAGGATGGCGCAGCCTCAGCACCAGGCGCCGCCCCCGCGCGCCTTCTCGCCTCCGCAGCACTCGCCGTCACCGGCCGCCGGCACGCCCTCGGCATACGCCCTGCCCCCGAACAAGCGTGTCCGGACCGATGGCCCGCCTTCTCAGCCCGGGTCGCCGTACGCGGCCTCTCCGTTCGCTGCGAGCCCCGGTGCTGCCGGCACGCCTCCGATGACGGCCGCGTCGCCTACGTTCTCGGCGACTCCTCCGCTCTCCGCTACATATGCGACGCCCTATACCAACGGCGCCGCAGCGCCGGGGATGAATCTGCCCGATGGCCGTTCAAACAGCGCCACGCCCGTGCAAACACCCCACGGCGCGCCTCCGCAGATGGTGCAGCCTCAGTATACCAACGCCATGATGGCTCCCATCCAGCAAGCGGTTGCGTCTCCCGCTCCGTCCGCCAATGTCATGGGCCCTCCGCAGCGACCCGCGGATAGGCCCACGAAAGACTACGAATACGATGTCACAGATTCGCTGGCCGGCACGGGAATCGACTTGCGCGCCGAGGAGCAGTACATGTCCGACCTGTATTCGAATGCCCTGGACTCGAACACTGCTGATGCTCGGACTGGGTTTGCCTACAACCAAGCCGGTTCAAAGTCAACCTTTTACGGCGCAGGACCCGCCAATCAGCCCGCCGAGCCAACCTCCACGTCCAACCAGGATGAGGTTGCCGCAAAGGCCGCCGAGCGAGCCTGGGCCGAGTCGTCAATGCGACTAGCCGTGCAAAGGACCCAGGAAATTAACGACCCGTTTCTGTTGGTGGCTCTGCTCCATCAGCGCGCGGACAAGATCGCCCGAGAGCACGGCATCGGCCTCAATTTGGAGATGAAGAACCCGCAGCCTATGGGTAAGATGAGACTTCCGGAACAGTTCCCGCAGCCGCAAGTCACCGTCCGCATGGCGCCAGGCCCGGATTCGACCATGGTTCAAACGACGGGCTCTTACATCCCGCAGGAGTCCTTTCTAGTTGATCAACTCGCCCTCATGTCTATCGCGGCCAAGCACAGATTACGAGGTCTCGTGGAAGAGGCTGGCGTGATTGCCATTCATCGGCAAAAGACGTCTCACGGAGACGTGCCTGCGGAGTGGGAGCCCGCAGCTGCACCCATGAACGTCGAGGTCTTGGAACCCATGGACAAGCCGGGTGAACCCATGGAGACGGACAGTGCCGAAGACTCTGGCACGAATCCGTTGAAGCGTATGTCGCATCTTCGTAAACCCTACGCCGTGGTTTGTCTAACAGTGTATGCCAATAGGGTCAGCAGATGCGGCAGGCCTTGGAGATGGTGCGACGCCACCGCCAGTGAAGAAGCTTCCCAAGATCGGAGGATCCAACGTTACGGTGCCGATGAGAGAGCGAGCCAGGCAGGACCGCGAGTGGGAAGAGGCCCGGCTGCGGAAACGCCAGCACCGCAAGGACGGCGGCCAAGACGGGACAGCGACGCCAACGCGAGCGGGCAGTGCTGCTCCCGCAACCCCTGGATCCGTCGCGCCGGAGCCTGAGAAGGCGATGACCAAGAAGGAGATGAAGAAGAGCCAGGCTTTGAAGGCAGCGGAAGCCAACAGTCACGCCAACCAGAACCTGACAAGCAGCATGTTTGCAGGTCTCGGCGGCAAGGGCGGCTTGTTCGGGAAGAAGAAGACGGGCAAGACGTACGACTGGATGAACGTCGGCCGAACCGGCAGCGGCGCGAGCACGCCTACTCGTGCTGCTCCGGGACCCAAGGGTGCGAGCGGTGCGCCCGGGACGCCGGCCGGAGCCAACCATCCCCTCACAACCGAGGGTCGGAACCGACTCGGCACGTGGCGTGAAGACAAGGAGAAGGGGAAGAACATTCAGCTGCGGGACTGGGTGGTCGTCCTCGAGAGGGACGGGCGAGAAACCAAGGCGCTGTCGGCAGCCCACTCGCAGCTGGACATGTCTCTTCCCAGGTAATTCAGGGGCATGAAGCAGAAAATTGGATGACGACGATGCCGCTACCACCACGATAACACGGGTATACGCGTGGTACGAGGGGCGGGTTATGCGGAAGATACCCATCGCCGTGCATTGGTTTTGATTTGATTGCGATTTGCGTTAGCCCGGCGTTATACCAGGACAAGGCTGAATGGTCGTTTTTTTTTCGGCAGCTCGGGCGGCATGTCGAGCTCATGGCGGGAACAGGGGGCACGCGGGTCAGCAGCGCACGAGAGAGAGAGCGCCTTTGTCCCAGGTTCAGAACAGGGTACGTGGAGCTGGCGCCTCACAATACCTAGTGGACGGGGCCTACGGGCCCGCGAGAAAGACGTTATAAAACTATTGATTAAGATGTGGTCGTTTTTGATGCGGCTTACATCGTGCTTTGCCTGGTGCTGTTGTTACGCGCTGGTGTCCAGGACTGCGCGTGGAATTTGGGCAAGGTCGTTCGCGACTTCCCAGCCGCGCGCTGTCACGACATTTCGCCTTAATAAGCGGCGACTCCTCTTTCAACCTCACCCACCCCTCGGCACGCACTCTCTCGTCATACGCACTTGAGCCCATTACCGTGCCTACTTTTAGCCTACAAGAGCCGACTTGAGACCAAAGGAACATTCACCACGTGCACACCATGGCCGTGCTCGCAGTACGTCCAAGAGTCCAGGACACCGCCCGACCCCGACCGATGGGCTCAAGGCGAGAGGAGAGCTAACATGCTCGCAGGCTGTCGGGCAGATCTGCGCCACGGGGTCCCTCAAGGCCAACCTGGACCAGTGTGTGAGGCTCGTTAGCAAGGCCGCCGTCGGCGGGGCAAAGGTGAGCACGCCGATGAGACGGCGGCGAATACTAGACCAGACATCTCCAGCTCTCCACCGACGAGCGTCGGTGGGGAGATTGTTTCACAGTCGCACCCCAGCTGGGCTGAGCCCTCTCTGCCTGGCATTGTTTTGATTTCTCGATCGCGTATCGAGATATTGTGAGACATCTGCAGGGCGGCGTAGAGGGTGCCGACTTTGCCTGTGTCGTTCGTTACCAGACGCGAACCCCCCCGCCAGCCCCCGTTCAGTCGCGAGACAGGCAGCTACGCGAGAGTCGTCCACTGACCTGGCTCTGTCCTTAGATACTGTTCCTGCCTGAGGCTTCAGACTACATCGCACCCAACGCCCAGACATCGTTGGAGCTTGCGGTGCCGCAGGCGACGTCGCCATTCGTCCTCGGGCTACGTGCCGCCGCGAAGCAGCACGCCATCGCTGTTCATGTCGGCATCCATCACCCTATAGAAGCAGCCCCGGGTGCGCCCATTCGAAAGCTGCTCAATCGCGCCTTGTACATCAACGCAGACGGTGCCATTGTCGACGCGGCGACGTACGACAAGCTTCACGTGTTTGATTATGGGTCTCTCAAGGAGAGCAACACCGTTCAGCCGGGGCCGACGCTCACGGCTCCGTTTGACTCACCGGTAGGTAGGATAGGCAGTCTCATATGCTTCGACGTGCGGTTTCCCGAGACTGCGATTGCTTTGGCGCAGCCGGGCAAGTCAAGTAGATGGTTCAACCGCCCCGCACAGATCTTGACGTACCCCAGCGCGTTTACGATTCGCACGGGCGAGGCGCACTGGGAGACGCTGCTCCGGGCGCGGGCCATTGAGACAGAAAGCTGGGTGGTGGCCGCCGCGCAGGTTGGTCAGCACAACGAGAAACGGGCGAGCTACGGAAGGAGCATTGTCGTGGACCCGTGGGGCACAGTGAGACTGCGGCTCAAGGGAGTTGTGGACGCCAGTGGTGAGGCCGAGGAGGGGGCAGTGGGGGAGATTGGTTTCGTTGAGATGGACATGGACATGACAAGCCGAGTGAGGGAGGGCATGCCGCTGCAGAGGCGAACGTGAGTGTGCCGATCGTCGGCCGTCGTGAGAGTGCAAACTGACATGTCACGGTGCAGGGACGTCTACCCCGAGTTGCCCGGACGGCCGGACGGCACGGGCTGATTGTCGGTGCCGCCAACCAAGGCCGGGTGCGCACGTCGCGAGGGGGCGATGGGAATCTAACAATGTCCCATGTAGGGCATGCATTGTGCACAAGAATGCATGAGCATTTGTGCCACCTCTGGACCGCCACCCCCCGCATGATGTGGCCGGCATCTGCGCGTTCCCCGGATTTCCAGACGGTCGGGACGACCCACAGAGCGAAAGGCCACTCCCTGCGTACAAGTATGGAAGGATCGAGGTATGCGTCGGTACCCGACCGGCCTCGCCTGCTACGGCAGTCTAGCGGCAGCGTGGGTGCCGAGAGCGACGCCCTCGCGCGTAGGTCCAACCGGTGAGGGAAGCAAAGAACAGGCCAAGGTCGACGTTATGAGTTGGGACGTCGACGCAACCTTGGCCTGCGCCTGCACTTGCCGTCCCTTGTGGAGCGCCCATGCGCGCGCTTGTCCGTACAACGCAGATGACAGATACGAACAAGTGCCGAACGGCCTGGCCTCGTTGGTGTGACGGGACGCATTGACGAACACGCAACGCGAACGAAGCATGATCGGCAGGAAGAGGGTTGCCACGAGGCCATGCGGCCCATGCCCCGCGATCTGTCGCGTTCGGCCATGCTGCAGTACTACCAGGGCCAACCTTTGTAATACCATGGCTTTCTGGTTGGCGATGGCTTCATCACCGCCGTCTCACCCGGGCGAGTTCCGGTGCTGCTTGTTTCCCCTTGTCCCTCTTCTCCCACCGCTCAGCTCGCCCACCAAAACGAATGAAGAAGGAAATGCAAAATATCGAGTCGACTCTGGCTACATCACTCCGTAGTGAACGGCAAAGGAAACTTTTGTCCACCCAACGACGCAAGTCCAAGGCGCGTCAAGACACGTCAAGGCACGTCACCACCCGCGGAAGATCGAGCGTCGTGCCGGGCGGCCCCACCCCCTTTTTCCCCCTTCCTTTGCTTTGATGGTGATGGGTTCTCTTTTCATTTTGGCCGCTTTTCCTTCTGTCATCCCGCCGCGCCGTGCGCCCCGCCTCCAACCGCCCAACGCCCCGTCCCGGCTTTCTGGATCCCGCGCCCGCGCCCCCCTTTCACTCGCCGCAGGGGGAAGGGGGGGCGTGTGGGGGTGCGCAAAAAGGGGGCAAGGGAAGGGAAGGGAAGTGGTGGGGTTTTTGGGGCCTTGCATTAGCGGCAAGGGAGCGTTTGAGTGGCTGCATTTGCGGCGAGATGCGACCGCATGACGCTTGCCGCCGCCGCGAGGCTGCAAAGCTGCTGCACGATGCGAGATGCGAGATGCGAGATGCAGGGCGGCCGGCCAGGCAATGCCGGTGGGGGACGATGAATTGGGCGCGGGTTGAGTGAGGCAAGTAAGTCAATGGCCATGGATGCCTGCTTGTCTGGCTGGCTGCATTGTGCGCATTGTTTGCGCTCGCCTTCAGCTCCGACGTTGAACGTGTTGCTGCGCGACTCGAGAAACCTACAGCCGGTGGACACGGGGGCGCACTCTCACACGCGATGCGGCGCTGCAGAGACCTTGTTTGGGACCTTTACCGGCGATTATCTCTGCTGGCCCCCCTTGCGACCTCTGTCTTCAGCTGCGTCTGGGGTTCGCCTGACTCTCTCGGCCATGATTCATCACCATCTCACGACCCAGCGATACCGAGTAGATGCTACACCCTCCTCACCACCCCAGCCCCTCCCCAGGCCTGTCGCTCGACGCCCCCGTATCACGCTGTCCGGCGTCATCTCAGTCCGGGCGGGCCGCTATTAGATCTCGCAACCGAAACCCTAACCTCGCAGGCTCATGCTTTCTTTTTGCCGTCTTCGCGCCGCCCCCTCCCTCCCCCCCTATCCTGGCATATGGACGGGGGTTGCCGCCTCGCAGGTTTCTTTGCCACAAGATGTACAAGAGGGTACAGACTACCTACTTGCGGATCATGTAAGTCATGTTTGTATGTATGTGCGTAGGTAGGTATCTCAGGCGGGTGGGCACGCACCCGTGGCTGGTCAACGAACACCTGATGTGGTTCAGTGGCTGCGGGCGGTAGAGACGATTATCGCCGCGCAACGTCGGCGCCCATGCATGATGCAAGTGAAGACCGTCTTCTTGCAGTACTAGAGCGCCCAGCCAGACGCATGTTTGCTTCGTACGTACTTCGGGCGCGCGCGCGCACGCACACACACACACACACACACATACATATACACATACACATACACATACACACACGTCCCATCCCGTCACCACCACCACCATTCTGCCGCGGCCCGATCATATCCTCCCGTTCGATCAAGCCACACCCGCCATCCGCTCCCGGCATCTTGGGCCTGCCTCGCCGATCCGAGATGGTGGCATGGCGGCAGGCAGAATGGCAGAGAGGCGGCGGGCGGTCGACAACAAGAGTCTCGCCGCGCCACCAGTGCTCTGGCCACCATCCTCCTGCACCGCGCCGCGAGTCTGAGACCTTGACTCGGTCGGCGTGCCCACTTGTAGTCGTCACCGAAGCCCCATGGGCCCCCCGTCTCCCCCATCCGTGCTGCGGTCCGGGGACTGCCGTGACCCTTCCCAGCTTGCCTCCCGGTCTGTCGATCACCTCGCGAAATCTCATCCTGGGGCGATTCATCATCCATTGCAAACGGCTTGGGCCTTGATTTTGTATCTAGTCTGATAGGAAAAAGTAAGCAGCATGCCGCAACTATCTAGGGTCCCCGCTCGTGCATCTCCAAGTGCACGCCGTGACCCGCTCCGTGACCAAATGTCGACCCGAATCCTTTTGATGCGGGTACTGTACATTGTTGAGATTAAGGAAAAGGGGTATCATCCAGCCGACATCCTGAGTCCAGCCCAGAGTTTGGTCGGGCTGGTCGGCTTCTCCATCGCCTCGCCTCCGCCTCGTCGCCAGCGCGGTTTGTCCGCGAAAATCGTACACTATCGCTCGAGGCTGGCCCCCTCGGTGATGTCGACGCCGGCCTGCTTCCGCGCAGCCGGGGAGATGGTGACGAAAGGAAAAGGAAAATAACCGATCCAAGCCAGGGCCCCAAAGTCTATATGCGAAAAAATGAAAATCACCAGTCCTTTTTCCCTTCCGTTCCCATTTTTAAACCACCCAAACCCCAACGGCAAGAAAGTGAATGATGAAAAGGAAATTAGAGCTTTGCCAATAGCTCAGCCCAACGAGGTGCATCGGCCGGGCCTGCGGCTCTCTGAGTCCTGTCATGAGCGGGCGAGATTGCCTGCCTCTCGGCATGAACCCCGCCACCAGTGGCCGATCCCAGACATGTCGCGAAATGGCCGGATCTGCATTCCGTTGGGAATGCACCACCCTTGACGCGGTTGGCGCGATGTCTCGAGGGGCGAAAAGATGAAATATGACGGGGCAAGATGCCTAGCTCGGCAGAAAAAGCAAAGAAGGAACAGAAAGAACAAGGAAACAAAATCAAAACTTCCTGAGATCCCGTCTATGGTCGAACGCCGCACACTCAGCCGCGCCAGAAATGTGAAGGTGAAAAATCCCATGCGTGTACTGGAAATGCAAAATCATCGCGCATTGTGTGAACCGTCCTTTGGTGTCCCTTGCTGCTGACAAGCAAGTTGGCTCCGAAGCCGTGGTGTATGTATACAGGCGACAGCAAACTGATTAAAAAAGGTTGTATCGAAAGGCGTTATACAGCATTGGTACAGTCGATGGCCATCCGGGCCAGGAGGAGAAAGGGCTCAAGGATGCCCAGTTGGATGTGGTTGTATCGGCTCAAAGCGCATTACCGCGGCTGCGGCCGGGGCGGTGGCTTAGGAACGCCAGTCGTGTCGTAGGCACCGCGGCCCATGTTGCAGAGGCTCGAGTCCTTGTGTATCATTGTGACGGGAGTGGTCGTGGTGGGGAGCTGATGACGCATGTGCTGTAAGCCGAGGTGCGATGTTAGCCAAGGTGACCACTTTATGCCAACCGGAACGACGCCGACATTGCGATTCTTATACACAAATGCTTTGTAAGGAATAAAATACCAGAGCATGCATGCTGGCAGGAGTCTCATCCCCGTGGCGAAGCGAGTCTTGCCTGGAGGCGAGCTCGGCAGGCCAACGCGAGTCGGGCGGGAAAGTCGTAGAAAACGTATAAGCGACAGTGACTCACAAGATCAGATGCCGTGGTGTGACCGCGGTATGAGGGAAGCTTGCCCAGGAAAGGGCAGCGGAAGCGGGTTGTCAAGGAGACGAGGTGATGTTCCAAAGGGACAGAAAGTCGAAAGACTGCCAAATCGGCGGCCGATTTGCGAGCGCGGCCAATATTACTGGGCTGTTTCGGGAGCGCAGCTGAGGCAAGAGCAGTCGTGGTCAACGAGGCGAGTAGATCGGCACCGGAGCGTTGGGACGAGGCGTTACACGAGCCCAGATGCTGTCGCAGATGTGGTGTGTGACACGGGAGACCTCGGTTCGGCAGGAGATTCTTCTGCACAAGGCGGACAAGATGTGGTGTCGTCCCGGGTACAACGGGTCTTGACGTGGATTCTGGTAGCCTAGGCTGCCGTATCGGCTCTTCTTGCGGTCCGTTGATTCTCGAACGTTTTTGTTGCTCGCGGCGAGAGTAGACGGAGCGTCGCGCAAGACGAGTCGGGTGTCGCAGTCAAGTATACGCAGGTGAGTGGGTCGGCGCGGACGGGAGCGAAGCTGCGCGGAAGGCGAGTTATGGAGCGGCTGATTAGGAGGACGGGTCGATTAGAGCAGTGCAGTGGCAGGCAAGCAAGCGGCAAGTAGAGCGAGGGCAAGGAGAAATGAGCGTGCAGGTGCCCAGAGAGAAGCCGACGACGGACGATGAACAAGGAGATCTAGGGGAACGAAGGGAAAGTGCAGTGCCAGGGAGGGAAGGGCGCTTTTGTATATCAAAGCGCAATCCAAGAGAGAGGGAAGGCGCGAGACAGAGACAGAGCGAGAAAAGAACGGACCCAGCCTGCCGTCACCTCACATTTTGGGGGAAAGAGTCAGGGCACTGCTTGCCAGACCAGGGAGGGAGGAGTGGTCAAGGGGGGCGTGCGGTTGGTATGCATGCATGGGAGCAAGGTACGAAGTACCTGCATACGGTACCTGCTTTGCCTCGCGCCGGTGGCAGGGTGCAAAGGAAGGTACGGTAAGGCATGTACATGGCGTGTGGCGTGGGCTTATACCACCACCATGGCACCCCCAGCTGGCGCGCGGAAGGTCCTCCGTAAGGCAGGTACGGCAGGTACCTTGTTGTCGGGTACGGAGTGGGCTACCTGACTCTCGGGTACTGGGCTGCACTGGCAGGGCAGGCGGACGGGCAAGCCACGAGTGGCAGGTACCTCGTTCCTGCGTTTCCGGGCCTGGTCCTGCCCGTCCCTGCTTTTTGCGCCGCCTTGGTTGCTTTGCCTTGCTTTTAGGTCGCTTCACCACGTTGCTTGGCCTGGCGCTGGCGCTGCGCTGCGCTACAGCGCTTCACCCGTCCGTGCTTGCCCCCAATGCGCTGCCTGTCTGTCAAGGGGCGGTCTCATCGCCCAAGCCTGCAGCGTTGCGGGCTGCACGATGGCTCGCTCGCCCCTTGGCCACAATGCTCGTAAATAGCAGCCTCCACCGGGGCGGCCTCGCCAAAAGCAGGCTTCCAAGGTTGAACCTCACCCGCGGGCCATGCGGCCGCGCGACGGGAAAGCAAGCAAGCAAATAGCAGGAGGGAGAAAAAAACTTTTTTCGCAGGCAGTGGCCCCGGGGGATTGGGAAATTTCCCCTGGACCCTGTTTTTGGCGGAATTGAGAAAGGAGGCATCCCTGTCCTCCGTACCCAGCAGTCAGGTCAGCCAGCGGCATTGGTGGTGCGCCGCCGTCGTCGCTCGACCACGAGGCAACGGCCGCTGGATGGAAACTGGCCGGGGAAGGGCGGCGATGGCAGCACTCCAGGGCATCCATCACCTGCGTCCCAGTCAGCCAAAGCCCAGCCACGCTACACGCTACACCTGCCGCAACCCCCCCTGTCGCCGCCGCCAATGGCCCTCACGCCAGATGCTCCAGCCGAGAGCGCTGGAACACGGAGCCACCTATGGACGTCAGGACCCCAAAGCAGCTCACATTACTCGCTCGTGTTGGAGCGACTCGCAATCGAAATGCTGGGGCCTGACCGGTGCATGGCGTCGGGCCTCGTGCGTGGGTGGCGATCTGCCAAGGGCAAAACACTGGTGCTCGTTTGGAGAGCCGTGCAATCCGTGCTCCGGCTCTATCGTCGGGGTACCTTTCGCGTGGAAGCCCACCCCACGACGACCTTCAGTTGCACACTGCCTGCGGTGCGGGTACCTGGTTGCCTTCCCAGCGGTCGGGTACCTGAGGAGCTTGGCGGCCCCATTCGTGCCCTGTTAGCTTGGCTTAGCCAGGCACAGCAATGATGA